CCAGTAAAATACCAAGGTCAAACTCCCTGGAGCAACCCCTCCCTCCACAAATTTTAAAGAGCCAAGGGCTCAATATATTCTCAACGCAACAAATGGAATGGTCACTCGGGCACCATATCCAATTTCTCACGCGGAGCTCACCCCTGAGCTCCACCCAATAAATACATAGTGTGTAAAGAGGAATGAGAGGACCCCGCACCACCTCTATTTTTTTCTATGGAACTCACACCCGAAAATACCAAAATATTATTTAAAATCACTTTCCCCACTCCTAAACATCGTCTCCCTTCTACTTCCCAAGCTTATAACTATTTGTAATATTATAATTTTACTGCCAGAAGATTACTAAGTGTGATTGCTATAACGGTGAAATGTATAGCATTTCGGTCATATCATTTTGTTTTGGACACATATATGGTGCAATTCGAGTATGACTGAAAAATAAAAAGCTAACCATGGCTTTTGTTGTACCAATGATTTGGCTAGAGCCCACCAATTACATTTTGCTTGACTTCGTCTAGAAAAACAGAATTGTCAATGATAAAAAAACTGTTAAATACCCGAATCCTCTAACAGCTACTCGACCTATTCCACATTAAGACAGTTTACCAGTTCTTGCACTACCCCAGACTTATGAGTTGGAAGCAGAAAGTGTAGAAGAAGAACTCAACAATCGTTCAACATCTTATGACCCAAATTTCAAAGAGGAAAAAGATGATCAACCGCAAAAATTGAGTCAATCGTAGCTGAGTGATCTCATTAAAGATCTTGATTTATCATAGGAGAAGGCAGAACTCATACAATCAATGTTACAGCAAGTGATGAAAAGTTTGAATATGAAGCATGATCCAACTGAATGGAGACTTTTAATAGACTACTCCAAGCTTAGTTTGATAGCTGTTTTGCTTCACAATGGTATTCGTCTACCTTCCATTCTTATTGGCCATGCGGTTCCCAGGACATTCCCTCCGAGTGTATTTCGGACATGAAATAAAGGCTACTCGTAAAAAAATCATCAGTCGTTCGGAGGCGGCTCATTGTAGTATAAACTGTAGGTCGCTCCATTTGTTGGAGAAACATCAAGACGCTGGACGCAGAAGGAGCTCGGCAGCTCTGTCAGCGTTTGTGGTGTAATGTGGCCGTAATCAGGCGAGTTTTTGTATTCAAAATTTTCCTTACGAAATAGCACCCAAAATACAGTGAAACAATAGCGGAATATAAAATTATTACTTGCTGCAATGGGATGGACTACTTCGCTTTTGAATTTGCCTCTGGTTACGCATGCCTGTAGTAAGAAGCGACTAAAATCCAAAGGTTCTCGCAACAGTCGAGTCTTTAAACCAGAACTCGGGCAATATTTTTGCAGCTATCTACAACAACAACTTCGCTAAGGTAATTTTAAAAGCATTTTGCATTTTCTTCTTCAGAAGGAGCCCATACCATACCGGTTCTCTAAATGTGCGGTCTTTCATTTCAACTGATGGCATAAAGTTCTTTTCGGCTTTTCTGAAGGAATTTCTTTCAGAAGAATTCGCTGTATCTCTTTCAAAGTGCGCTTCTTCTTCGCAGCTTAAAGTTTTGCTATTTCGCTCCAGCAACGTTAGGTTCTTAGATGATCGAGAACGATCGATCAACGACTTCTCAATTTGACTGTTGGTTGTTTTATATCGTATTTCTGATACTTCCTGTTGGCCTTGGAGTTGCTATTCACATATTACTTTAGTGTCCACTTGGATGTGGGTGCTCAGGAATTTCTGAAGCCCATCATTTTCGGCGCTATCTGGCGAAACAGTTTCCCAACTTTGTTCAGTTATTAGAATAATATTATCGTAATTGGGAATAATCGGACAAAAACGAGATCAAGTTGATTCTGGTTACATCCAATTTTTGACCTTTTGGAACCCCATCAGTATTTGTAATCCCCTCCTATAAAATAATGAAACTAATCCCAAGAATGCCAAAGAAATCATGAAATTCACAACGAGAAAAAATCTGACTAAAAATCTGACAACATCTGGAGCAAAAAAGTGATGTTGAAGGAAAAGTTGTAATTGTCACTCCTCAAAACTACAAGAAGATCACGGCAGATATTGAATACCGAAAATAATATTTCTTATCAGTAGCTTCTATTATGACTAAATAGTAACGATTCTTATACATACATATGGTACAATCACCTGACGACTTGTGGTCTTAAAGAAGGTGTCCAATGAGAACCCGAACTCACCTCCCTCAGTTGTTATCCGTAGGGGTTGGGATCCGCCACAAGAAAAATATACTGCAGTGAAAAACCATGAGAGGCCTTAATTTTAATGTGGCATCCGGCAAACGTATTAACTGAAAAGTTATCGCTGTCCAGCTAATTGATATCCTGGTTAGACTAAGGGCTGATATCGCCGCCGTCCAGGAAGTCCGTCATGCGGGACAATGACCAAAGAAGATGTGAATATTACTACACCGGTCATTTAAAGTAGCGAAACTTTAGTGTTGGATTTGCGGTGAGAGACGGACTCCGTCGCCGAGTAGTGGCATTCAATCTGTTGGATTCACATCTAACCACAAACAGCATCAAAGCTATTTTTTTTTACTTATTGCTGATTTGCATCCACGCCCCGACGAAAGGGAAAGGCGCTTTTAATGTGCACCTGGAAAATTATTTTTGGTGATATCCAATACAGAATAGGCAAAGAAGGTATTTTTGATATAACTGTCAGGAAATTCAGCCTGCCTGACAAAATATTCACAAACGGACTGAGGTTGATCGACTTCCGAAATATGTTTATTGTATTGTTTGTAGTACCAGATTTACGCAGACGAAAATCCATCAACCGACACGGCTGTCGCCGACCGAAAATCGCGATTGATCGTATTTGACACTGAACACATTTCTCAGTATTCTCAATGTGCGCAAGTTCCGAGAACCCAACATCGACTCAGATCACTATCTTGTCACAGCAAAGATATGCACACGCCTCTGTGCATCAAAAAATGCTCGTCGCTGACACACAAGGAAAGTTATACGTCGAAAAGCTGCAATCACAACAGAGAGCCGAACGATTTTCTACAGCTTTCAAACTTCCTTTAGCATTGGGTACGGTGAATACCACAGACGATGGAACGATGACCTGTCCGATGATATTGATATAGTTCCATGAATGGAATTTTTTGAATAAGTTTGGTTTCCCGAAAGCCAAGAGTTACATGGAGGGCGAGAGAGAGAGAGAGAGAGAGAGAGAGAGCGTCCTATTTTGCACACTTATTTGTAAACGAATTCATTACTGTTATTATTACCGACACGCCATGTAAAGCCAGGCGAAGACATAAGACACTTTTAAATACCTACCCATGAATCCGTCTATGAAGACTTTACGGAAAAATCTTGCTTTGGGAGCTTACAAAGTTCAACTCGTACAAGAACTAAAGAAAATTTGGTTTAGCGATTGCGCTCACTTTTGGTTGATTGGATACATTAATAAACAAAATAGCCACAGTGCCCTCCTTGTGCAGAGGGAATCATTAGTCCATGTTTCTTGAAAAATAAAGCCATAAGTTACAGTCAGTGCTCTTTAGAGCCTTAATTATTGAGTTTTTCGAATCTGAATAGCAGAATATTTATGTGTCTTTGTTTCCAAAAAGGCGGCGCACAATGGAGGCCATTTACCCGATTTATTATTCCATAAATATTCTATCCAAATTACAATCGAAAGACTAAAACTGTGTTTTCTATTTAATTCCAATATTGGATAAATTTTGGGACACCTTTTTTATAAATATTTTATTCCTTTTTTTGATAAGAAGCTTTTTAGTTCCAGATTCCAACCAATGACTCTCCGCGTAGTTTCATGAGCTGCTAACCTATTATTTAGCCATATCTGGAAATACTAGTTTTTGGGTCGCTGACAAAACAAGATTTTTTTTTGGAGAATATTTTACTTTTTTGAATTATTGAAGGTTTTTGATGCACAAATAACAAAGTTTTGTATAGCCGAGTGTTGAGCATTGCGTACTAACTCCTATAATGCCAGTGCTCGGGTGGGAACATCAAGATCTCCGAGTGTATTTCATAAAAATCCATCGCCCATTCTCCATTTTTTGGAGAAACATCAAGACGAGCCACAAATCGGCCGAACAATCGCTTCAGCAAATAGAAAGCTCTAAATATATATAGATATACGTATTCTACGCCGACCGGCGTAGCCGAGTGGTTAGCATTACGTACTGAAAATCGGAAGGCTAGGGTTCGAATCCCCGTGCCACCAACTTCAAAAAAGTTCTAGAAAATGTATTTAAATAAGAAAAATTAAGTTAAATTTTCTAATTGCGGTCGCCCCACGGCAGGGGGGGTGGACATTCCCTCCGAGTGTATTTCGGACATGAAATAAAGGCTACTCGTAAAAAATCATCAGCCGTTCGGAGGCGGCTTAGTATAAACTGTAGGTCCCTCCATTTGTTGGAAAAACATCAAGACGCAAAGCCACAAATTGCAGGAGGAGCTCGACAGAAAAATCGCTTCAGCGGTTGCAAAGCGCCACTTATATATATTTTACGGTATTTTGAAAGTTAAATTTGCAATCGGAATTTTTACTTGGAGGCCACTGATGTACACTGAATCGAAAACTAAAATTGAAAATCATGCAATCTAGATAAGTGGCTGTTCTACTGGCACAATTAAAGTCTGAAGACTGTAGCTGACTCAAGTCTTACTTATCCCGTTTCGACCGCGATATGATTAAAGTATGTTTTGTATGGCAAGAGCCCGGGCACAGCGCTAAGCACCTCTTTGTATTCCCATTTAAACCCACTGATGTAACATCTCTGACTAGCTGATCCAAATCCGTCAAGTCTCCTCCTTAGGTGATCTCGACACCATCGACTAACTTTGCCTGTTCCCCAGGCGGGGTTTCATAGCCATTGCAAGGACAACTGGAACGACAGCAACTGCACCTACCTTTGCTCTGATAAAATACAATCAAGTATTTGAGATAAAAATGCTTTAAAAATATTGTTGAATTTGTATTGGCTAATATAATGAATTTTATTATGACAAACATTATGATACATTAAGAAAACGAATATTTGCAATAAATAAAGGTAATAGATTTAAATAATTTTTTTATATATTTTATTTTATAGTGTATTTTAATGAATCTAAACGCAATGTGATAAAACGCAACTCCTGTAATAGTCAGGAATGGGATATGAATTATCGATAATGAATTATGAATTATCGATAATGAATTATCGATAATGAATTATTGATAATAAATTATCGATAATGAATTATCGACAATGCCAACTCGAATATGCAGCAAAAATAAATACGTTTTTCACTAACATATTTATCAAGTGAATAAAAAATGTTGATGTATGTATGTATGTATGTATGTATGTATGTATGTATGCATGTAATTACTATATACGAAAAAATGTATGTATGTATGTATGGATGTAGGATTTAGAAATACCGTGGCATGGAACGAGTTTCTAATACAGAAAATATTTAGAAAATTTCGCAATTATTTGGCGGCACGTCGTTTTGTCAGCGGCGTTGTGGGCGTTGGTGGTTTTATCTAAAAAAAAAAAAACAAGTGTAAAACATACATATAAACGTACATATGTATATATGTAGATATTTGCGCTTAATGAAAAATCCTAACTCACCGCCGCTCTAATTGGTCTCGCCGTGGCAGCATTAGCCGGTGGCGGCTCACGCGGTTGCGGTCCATCCGCATCCCCAACCACTGTCACCGCTACGGGACGATTTTCGGTCGCCATACGTTCAGTGCTCTCACTACGAGACGTTGAGCCCGCACGTTTAAACATACCTGACAAGCGGCCACGTAAGTCTTTTTTGCTGGCACGCATATCACTCGCTACACTAATATCAGAGTCAGATCCTTGAATCTACAAGAGCAACGAATGAGATATTTAGTTTTTCGCAAATACTATTCTGCGCTTTTCTAAGCAACTTACCGACACTTCACTCTCGGAATTACGACTACTCTTCGTTAGGCTGCGCAATTTGCCCATTAAACTCTTCTTCTTCTTGCGTGGACCGCGTGGTATGTCACTCTGTGTTGAGCCACCCGATAGACGAGAATCAAAACTGCTGTCACGCATCATGCCGCCCAATTCGGAATCAATGGACTGCATTGATGAGACGCTGCCATCGTCTTGCCGCCAAATATTCTAAAAACCAAAAATTAGCAAAAAGGATATGTAAGAAAAATATTATTTGTGACCACCTGATCCTTCTGTATTGAGTGATCCAATGAGAGACTCTTTCTTATTAAACTGCCATTATGCGCCGATGAGCGCGATAGCTTGGAACCAGTGCGTGTCGAGCCCGCAGCGCTTGCCACCGAACTCTGACTGCCATGTGGATCGTTTTCTTGCGATGCAGCGCGCCTTAGATTACTACGTCTAATGCGTGTACGCTCATTTTCATCTTCACTCAAGCGTTGGAATTTGCGCAACTCCTCTGACGCTTCGGCCAAACGTGCGAGCACATTGGTTATTTGTGCATTGTTTAGCACACTATTTGGCGAGGGACTGCGGCTGCGTTGTCGCGCGTTGCCAGCTTGCTCAGGCCGTAATGTGTTGCCACTGCTTGAAGTGGAGCGTGCACTTGTTGTCGCTATCTTCAAATCTGGCGCTATCTTAACCAGTTCATCGACCGTTTGTAGTAATGCGCCGACTTTACGCTCACCACCATCCTGCTCCATGCGTCGCTTCACCAATTCTTTCTCGTAACGCTCACGTTCACGACGTAATTTCTCATTAGACGTTCGCAATTTCGCATGTACATCACGTAATTCCAACAAATCACACTGCAATTCAGCGATCTTACGTCGCCCTTCTTCCATTTCCTCTTCCGTGGAGCGTTTCAATTGATCCAAACGACGTTTCGATTCCAAACGCTCCTTATCACGTTCGCGTTCAACTTCAAAGAGCGTCTGGCGTAGATCACGTGCCAATGTTGATGTTTCTTGTAGTAAACGCTGTTGATCTTCGCGCTCTTTTTGCCAAGAGAGCTCCAATTTCGTTTTCATGCCCGGTATTTTGGTGCGTCCCGAACCGATCACGCGTTCTTCTTCGAACTCATTTAGTTTGGACTGCATCTCGGATATTTTGATTTCATTTGCACTACGCTCAGAAACAAGCTCTGTCTTTACCTTGCTCACTTCGAGTCGCGCCTCCACCAACTGATCTTCTAAACAGCCGATCTATAAGAAAAATGAAATTTTAATGCAGCCTAAGCATGAAGAGAGCACAAAGTAATAATGTCAAACCTGTTGTTCGAGATACGCAATTTTACTCTTGTCATCATCATCACTGCTATGCATTGAACTACGACTCTGACGACCGGTGCTGTTCGCCTTTAGATCACCAATCTTTTTCTGTGCCGATTCCAGCATCTGCTTGAAAGCATCGCGATCTTTTTTGAACTTCTCACATTGGCGCTGCAACAGAGAATGACGTACGTTAACATTAGCTAAAGAATAAAATAAAGATTCTTGTCTTTGTATTCAATTCTCACGAAACCCACCTGCATTGAAGTCAATTCCCCGCTCAAATTCTTCACCTGTTGCTCATAGCGCAAACGCGTAGAGGCAACCTCGGACTTAAGTTGTAATTCTGAATTCTGCAGCCTGGAAAGAAATGCATATTCATAACAAGAAGTGTCATCAATATTTTCCCCCGATTAATACTAAAATGTTCCATTGAAACTTTTAGACCGTACAAAGTACATGGACACATATTAGTTAGTCTACATTTCCAAAGTTGGTAAGGCTACACAGATCAGCACAAAGGTACTTAAAAATTACAGTAAATTCCCTCTCTAAAACGATTGAAGGCTGATTTTGAATAACATTCCTGGACACAGAGCGAGCTTTCGACAGCATCTTAACGGTTTCTGTCAAATTTGCTCCGAAGGGTCACAGGGTTAACACTCAACTGATTGCATTTATAAATCAGCTACTCCAGCGACTTAATGATGGAGACTCTTCGGAGGGTCTCTAACTCGTCTTAACGCTTTAGATGAAAAATTTTAGTTGGAACTCGTTCTTCATTAACTAAGAGTTATAAAATAGTGACATTAAACGCGCCAACTTTGAATGGGGTTCACCTAAGCCTAGGAACTAAGGCAAGATGTCTGGGCATGCCTCTGTACAAGAAACTAAACTGGAAGGCCAACAAAGTAGTCAAATATTAGATATATGGAAAGGAAGAAAGATTTGGTGGAGGTGTCTTCTTAAGGCACCCACCTTTTGAGGTCTCTTTCAGCCTACCCGATCATTGCGGTGTCTTTCATGCGAAAATTTCAACATTATGGAGATTACAATCTACATTGGAACTAAATTCACGGGCAGGGATATTTTTATTTTCACCGACAGTCAGACAGCGATTAAGTCGCTTGGCTTCCCTACAATTATTCCATGCAATTTACTACTCGAGCTTTACTTACGAGCAGGACACATTAAGATGGAATCACACTGCTAGTCACAGAAGCGCCATACAAACTTGGTCAAAATGGAACTGAAAAAGATCTTGCGAAATATACTCATCCTCAATATACTTTTAAAAGAGAGGATATTTCTAAGGTTAGGAGTCTTAACAGGTCACTGCTAGAGAGGACGGCATGCAACGGGAGTGAGTTTACTTTCAGACGATGAGATGCTTAAGAAGCTTTAAGAGCGATGAAGAGCAAAAAGTGGTCACTATGTCAAAGCTAGATTCCGTTATCACTATAAATTAACTAATAATTTTTTATTAAGAAACCGAACCTTACCTAACCTATAATAATCAATTATTTTTTAAATTGTCTAATTTAACCCCAAAACTTTCGATTTTTCTATGACCTTTGAGTTGCATTAAAGAAAGCAATGAATTTATTAATTAATTAATTGCTGACTAATTGAGCTTAATACGACTAATTGATAAGTCATTTCCACATCACATTTACTCACTTCGTTTTGAGCGTTTTGATTTCGGCTTGCAAACTGCTACTGTGCTCATTAATCGAATACTGCGCCTGCTCGATGCGACTAAAGTCGCTTAATTTACTGCTTAAGTCCTCATTCTCCTTACGTAATTGAAATACTAAATCTATATTCATCTCATTCTCACGGCGCAAACGATCATATTCCTGCTCTCGCTCTGCCAGCTTATTCTTCAGCATTGTCTTTTCATATTCAGAGGCGCCATTCTTGATGTGTTTTGCCTCAGCCTCTTGCAATTTTCGCTTGACATCATTTAACTTTTTCGCCAGCTCTGCACGTTCCACACGTATATCATCCATTTCATTAAGTTTCTGACGCATCGAATTGAGCTCCATTTGCATATTATCCTTTTCTGTAGTTAATTGTGCTCGCATGAGTATGGTTTCCTCGGACAACTTTTCCCAATGTGTGTTCAAATCCTTATAACGTTTATTTTCTTCCAACAGTTGATTTTGTAAATCCTCTAGTTGTTTCTTGAGTTCTTGCACTTGTTTGGAATCGGATTTTGAGGATTTAATTTTTAGTTCTTTTACTTCCTTCTCAAGTGTTGCTTTAGTTTTTTCCGCCGCCTTTTTGGCGCTTATGAGATCGGCTTCTAACTGTGTCAGCTTTGATTCGAGCTTTTCACGCTCCTTACGCTCTTTCTCGTAATCTTTTTCTAAAGTGGTATTCTTTTCCTTTTCCCGTTTCACTTGACTTTCGAGCACGGCCTTGGCTGCTTCAATGGTTTTGATCTAGAGTTGGAAGGCAGAGAGAGAGAGAGATATATAATGAGAATATGTAATCCGTCGAATGATAATTTTCTTATTACCTGATTGTCTTGTTTCTTGATTTTCTCCTCGAATTCTTTAACCTTAGAACTGAACTTTCTTGCTTCATCGTCGGACTTTTTCAATTTTTGCTCCAACTCACTTAGTTTGGGTGTAGAGCTTGTGAGTGTTTTTAAACGATCTGAAGTAAAAAAAAAAAAAATAATAATAATAATAATCATAATAATAATAATAATAAATAAAGTAGTATAAAATATCTCACATAGAGAATGCCAATAACAGGCTTGGATAAAGTAAGATTGCGGTGACTACCCATCAACCGCATCATAACACTTAGGACTGAATAAGACCCGTTCTACTACGCTCCCGACCACAAACACTTGATCATTAGGTCTCGCTATACAACCATATCCATTCTCTAAAGAACTTCAACATATCCTTGACTTTGACGTGACTACTCACAATAGACCATCCAGCAGTAGGGTACCGAAATTCTGAAACGTATCATTGCCCTGAGCAGAAAAATCGACTAAAAGATGGGTGATTGTTTCCCCTCCTCATAATGCTTTTACAGCGTCTTTTATAGGAAACCCCTATTTCTCTGCATGTCCATTAGACAGTGACCTATTACTTTGAACATGTCCTCCTTTTGGAAGGAGTACGTGTCTCGTGATCTTTTCCTATCCCATTTTAATCATTTCTATATGTACATATCTGCACCTGAAGGACACTACAATGTATAGGTAACCTGAATGACAGCTCCTTAGGAGCCATCCTTGCATATTTCCAACTACCATCAGGAGTGTAGAAATTATATTATACTTTCATTCTTCCTTACTGGAGGTTAGAACTCTAAAGTAATTATCAGTATCGAGTATCCAACAGCTTAGATATCCAATTATTTAACTCTCTTAAATGAAGTGAAGCTTTATTATAGCTGCCCCCCCCCCCCCACAATCGCTCTATAAAGGAATAATGGTCTTACTACCGATACGTAATCCTAGGAATTATCTCTTCTATCTCATCTCTTCTATCTCATCTCTCTTTTCCATGTATAAAGGGCAGTAGCAGTCTTTTTGTGCCTTTGAACTATGTTATCTGCCCACTTTACACTCTCTCTCTCTCTATAAATAATGTTTGGAAATACCACTGATTCTTGCAAGGAAATACCAGAATTCAACTAGAAACGTGAAGTTGAAAACTTAGTTTTGATGAACGTTTAGTTTCTGTGATCTTAAATCTTTATTTCGATGAGATTCTTAATTAGTTAATGCGGTTGCCCGATTGCGAACCCTAATCAAGTACACTAAGGTCTGCTGGAACGCTGGGATATCTATATTGGACCTGAAATTACGCTCGCCTTTCTATAGTTTTAAGCCGATTTGTTTGTTCATTCACTGCAAGACAGAGTCTTTATTAATCCATGCCACGGCCATTAGGAACGTACAGAAGAAATGTTCATTTGAGCCACTTACTAAAAATCGCTAATAACCCACAATAATTAGCCATTGGCTCGTTGTTAAGTAAGCACCTATAATGGATCTGGTCTCGAACAACCAAATCTGACGAGTTGGCCAAGTTGGGAGCAACGAAGATGAAACCATTTTCGCAAGAAACAATCATGAGATGGCTTCAATTTTAAAATTAACATTGAAATCCATTGCCAAGGACTTGGTCAATAGGTTTAGAAGGAGCATATATAGACTTACAGCCGCAACAACAGACCAGGCCTTTCGAGAGCCTGCATTTAAAATGAGTCTGCCCTACAAGAACCGTTGGACCAACCACTTCGTATACATCAGGAACTAAGCATAGATTGACTGTCCACAAAAGACAACAGTCAAAAGATTTGTAGAAACAAGCTCGGCTTGACAAATATATTGCCAATAAGAGCATCATTCTAAGGCCTCTGATACTATGTCCAGAATCTTTGCCTAAAAGAATCTAAGAAATTTCCGAAGTTACTATATTAAAAAAAACTTTCACACCCGTTTGGAAAAAAACTCCAACAAAAAACTGCTTCAGTATTGCAGAACCAACAGTACCTGGCATCAAAACTTACCTATATCACCTTCTGCTATGTTTAACCGCTGTTTAGCTTTCTGCAATTGTTCTTCCAGTGTCGACTTCTCAGTCTCAAGCGTCTTCAATTTATCACCACCACTATTCAATACAATAACACGCATCTCTCGTATCTCATCCTCCAGCTCTTCGACCCACTTCTTCAAATGATTCTTTGGCGTAAGATCGGTGACACGCTTCGGCGTACGCATTGGTAACTTCTCTTCGGCTTCTTGTAGTATGCGTTTCAATTTGCTGTCCAACTCATTGCGCTCCCGTTCCATTGTTTCGAGTGACACCTTCAATTTAGCAAGCTCCTCCCCATTGGTGCCATTTTTCTCCAATGACGTACTCTTACGTAATGCCTGCAGTTGCATGCGTTTATTTTCTTTAAGCAATTTTTCATTCTCACTCTCTAGAGTCGTAATTTTCGTACGCAGCACCGATGCCTCTTGCTCGACCAATTTCAATTGTCGCTTTGAATCGATATTGGCATCTTGTGGCAACGCTGAACCCGTTTTATCTGCTATCTCCGCCTGCAGGCGTTCGATGGTGCGATCTTTGTCGGACAGTGATTTACGTAACTGCAAGAGTTCCTCGTTGAGTGCCTTCAACTTCTTATCAGCTGCATTCGCTGACGTTGAGTTGAATGAGAGGAAAGAGGATGAAGACTTTTTGTCGCCCATTTCAGCTTGTTGCACCTTTTCTTGCAGTTCACGCACATGCTTTTTGGTTTCACGATTTTCCTTTTCCAAATCATCGACACGTTGACGCAATATCGATGCCTCTTGCTCGTTCAGTTCCAGTAGTATGCGCAGCTCGGCGGGATCGTCTTCATCGGAAATGCCTTCGTCACGTTCGGACGCTGCTTCGGGCACCAAACGATGAGGTATCGGACTCAGCTTACGTGTTGCTAGAGAGTTGGGTAGAAGAAGGCAGAGGTGAGTACAATTATATATTATTTTAAAATAAATGGAAAACTCAAACATGCAAAGCGCCAGCCAATGATTGGGTTAGATGCAAACAATTAATTTTTAGCGCAAACATTTGTTTAGTTAATGTGCTATAGTATGTATGTATGTATGTATATGTTAATATCTGATGATGAGCAGCTGTAAAAAATGGCAAGTACTTGGCGGTAAGAAGCGAGTTATAAAGAAGTAATTTTTTGGTTAGTTTGTTTCAAATTGGAAAATTTGATATTTTTTCAAAGCAATTTTTACTGATTGTGTTGGTAATGTGGCCAAAGTTTATTTAATACAATTAATTTTAAAAGGATTATAAGAACTCATTTCATAAATATAACGAGAATAAAGAAAATTTTGGTTTCCAACTCATAAATATTCGTACTTCTGGTGCGTGTTGCCATTTTTTTCAACTGCATCATAAGCGAATCATTTTCATCCTCGTAACGGGCAACCTTTTTCCTCAAATTTTCAGCCTGAAATTGTACAATTATAACAAAGAATTAGTACAATGCAATTATCCAAATCAGTCATGCATTGGATTTGAGATTTATCGGTTCCTATAATTCACTTTATAGCGAGAGACTACAGCCCTTTATGCCTATAATGTTTATAAATTAACTCACAAGAGAGATTTATGCAAATTTTCACACTCAAAACTGTATTGCAGCCAGAGGGTATATAAATTGAAATCCACGTAACTCCATAAAGTTTTGGTTTCTTGAGCATAGGCGTTGTTTTGCCATATGCTGTATGCCTTGAAAGTCTTAATGCAAGCACTAGAACCCAAGAATTGGTAAGACATCAGATAGCCACGCTGTCGGAAACAGAAACAGAGCGCAGCTGTCAACCAACAGAACATTTAAAAAAACCTCTTGATTCATATTTTACTTTTCCGTTATGCAGCACAGACCGCTGAATTTCTAGTTTTTATTATCTATTCAACTTCGTGACCCAGATTGCCGGAAGGGCAGAACGAGCAAATAAGTATGATACTCCCACCGGAAGTACGGTTGTAAAGCAAAGAAATTGCTCTTGAAATACGGTCCACTTTGTTTTTTTCACTCAACTGATGTGGCACCCATGTATCGAGCTTCGAAGTGTACCCAACCTTTTTTAAACGACTAAACGCAGTTGGTTTGTTGACGTTCAATTCACTGGCAACCTCTTCCGTCGAAATACGTGAGTTATTCGCAACTAAAATTCTTATAACATCGTCATCAAGTTCAGAAGGCCTTCCACTGCGAGGTTGATCTTTGAGGTTAAAATCTCCAGAACGAAATTTCGCGAACCATTTCTTTACTGTGCGGTGTGCTGGAGCACGGTCCAAAAAAACTTTGCGAATGTCTTTAGTTGCAGCGCCTACTGTTTTTCCTTTGCGGAATTCGTATAACACAATATGACGCATATGATCTTTTTCGTTGTCCATCTTCCATGCGTCTTTTCACTAAGCAACTCAAATCAAAATGAAGTTATTTTATGCTTGATTTAAAGTTCGGATTGTCACCTTTCCAACGATATATAATATGTATATATTTCTTTCACGAGCGCCACTCTCAAACGATTCGAACGGCACGGAATCGGGCACGAACTTATGCACTCATTCAATACATTTGAAACGTCCACTGAGGTAGGGCAGGGTAGAAGGGCATTAACAAAAAAATATTCTTTTTGTATTTATTCGTAATCTCTGTCCTTCTCTATCATCTCTACTTAATCACTATTAATTTCAATGCATGGCTTAAGCCCATATATCCACTTCTGAAAAAGTCTTCAAAATCTTGCTTCTTAAGTTTATCAAGTTCAGCATTAACCGCATTTTCTTGGTAGCTATTTTTTTTTTAATTATGCTATGTCCGGGGTATATGACACTGAACGTATTTTTTCGATCCCAGAGATCGCAATAAATTTACTCTTTATTTCAGCAGCGTGGGTTGACGTGTTGTCATGAGGTAAGAAGTAGTGCCGCAAATCCTCTTTCAGTCCAATTCATTAGCCATCATTTCTTGTTTCAATCGAGGACCTCTACGGAAAAATGCCCGGTCTGGAATCTTCGGAATCACTTAGAAATAGTCTTTAAAGACGGTGCAATTAATCCATATGCAATTTGGCATTCACTGAATATTTGTATTGACCGTAAATTACGCCTAAACCAGAGGAGAACCACATGGCGAATGTGTCTTTGCTATAGTGGTGCAATTTCCTCGAAGTATCCTCAATCTTGCGTTTTCTCGTCTGCATTTTAGCCGATCGGCCTAAAATTTAAAGGCAAGACTAATAAAGTAATTGCAAAGGATTTGGTATTTCTAGATTTAAAAAAAAAAACAAATTAAAAGTCACAAACTAATCGAACGTTTGTTAAACCCCTCGCATTAATCACGTCAAGCTGAGTCGCCTGAGTTGGAGTGGATTGTAGCCGACCTCTTCGCTTAGGCCCCTGGTTACAAAGTCAAAGAAAGGAACTGCACCGCAGACTAACTTGTTCGACAAGGCACATCCAATCGGAGTCTTCCGGGTAAAAAAGGCTACTTGAAAATTAGAAACAAAATTTGACCTGAAGCAATTGAGGTAAGGTTAACCAATATACAAAAGATTAAGGTCGAATAACTTATATTCTTTGAATAAAGCGTAACTTTCAAAAGACACTGCAGGAATGACAAGGTAAAAATGATGATTTTCCAACTTTTATGTGATTGCCTTGCTCTGGACACAAAACAAAATCCTAGTGGATGGATATGGGCAATTCTTGGCCTAAGGGTATCAATGTTCACATATTCCCAGCCACTCCAACCCATCTACCCAAAACACTACTAATAAATTTCATGAGTAAATGGGCTATTCTGTACAGAAGGGGTCTTGGGATTTACGGTAGTGTTCGTTCTCTTAACTTGGATCCGCACCACTTATTTTCTACCTATCTCTCGTTTGATACATTATCATAGCTTTGATTTTTGTAGGGTACTCTTTGAAAAGTACCCAAAGAATCTACTTGATAATGACTCTGTGTCAACATAGAGAAGGTGTCTTCTGCTGTAAGAAATAAAACTTCTGCCCATAAATCCTCCAGTTCTCAGTGGTATTAATCTGAACATGAGAACCAAAGCAATATATCTTTGCACCGTTCTGGAGATCCTCTTTTGTGTTAAAAATCGATCAGTAAGCTATTAGTGGATCTATGTATATACATATCGAATCATAAGACCAATACCAATACTCTCTGTCAGTTTAGACCGTAATTTGAGAGTTTTGTATAGAATTGAGTTATATAAGGAGTGATCAAAGCTTACTAGAAGCGTTGACGGTTTTATCTTCTCATGAAATCTAACGTTGAGTTTTTTTGGCGTACGCAAGTAGAACTCAAATAGACGAACTGACGACCGATGTCGAAATTATATTAAGTTTATGATGAGAATATTTCTCAATCCTGCGGAATGGTAGGGAAAATGAAAACCATCTCTGGAACGGACGTTCCATTACCCCACGAAGAGCAAAGCGGCGATAGCCAATGGATTACCGTTATTCAAATGCAGTGACAAAAAGCTAATAAAGTGCATGCGCAAGCTGCTTTGCAACGATTGGTGGGACGAGTTCATGTCTGAGAAAGGAGCTGTGAGAATAGGATCAACACACTTCATTTCTTTGTCAATTTTAAATCAGCCACAAAAACGAACTACTTGCACGCAGCTGAATCTGCATATGGTTTGGAAGAACGCTCCAAGCCAAATTGATACTAAACGGAGTTTCACACCAGGCGACTCTGTATCGTGTGACTTTTTTTAACTTAATAGTGAAGAAAATAGTAATAGGTGCACTCTTCCTTAAGGACTGCCGCATGCAGTTGACAGTGAAATCATCAGCTTCTACAACTATAAAAGACGAAATATATACTGTCATGAAATCAGGATTATTTCTTCTCTCTACAAAATCAACATCAGCTCCTACAACAATGTGAGCCCTGACATTCAAAATACATTGGATTCGCTGGATATATCACATTTTCTGGATAGGTGAAAACACTCCAACTTTAAAATTACTGCATGCAGTACCCGCATCCAGTGGAAACAGAGGACTGGATAACCGCCCACACTGTTAAAAACATAAGGTGGAGAAGGACGTGGCTTTACTTGGCGTCAAAAAACCTCACTTGGCTTGGCCAAGTAGTCAAACTAAACGAATTTGTACTAAATGTGATCGGAAAGGACACCGGGGGACACCTCAAAAACAATGGTTTCAGAATGGGCCGATATGTAAAAAAGTGATTAAGTTCTTTTTAGAAGATTATGCAGAGTTTTTAGAAACGATGAAACCTTTTTTCTCTTCTTATGTAAGAAAAGTGAAGCCGTTCGCTCCAATAGTTCATCTTGTCAAACTATGCCAACTCAGCCAATGCGATCTACCTTTAGAGAGCGAATAATTTACTATCAATTTTAATGACGAAAGTTTCAACTTCGTCAAAATACATTGACATCTGGCAACATCCGCTATGGTTTGATTTCGACCCAAGTAAGAAGAGATATCTACCACTAATTCTGAAAAAAGTGAAAGTATTTCTGAAACCCACCCGACTATTTCTAGTTAAATCCTTATGGGACCGGAATTAGTGAGGCAGCAACAAAAAATATATTAAAATCAACAGTGTTCAGCTGCCAAATCTACTATCGTACACAACTACAAATGTATTAGTTATTAGACACACTCTTGAAGTATGAGGCTACCTGCACCGACTCTAGACATGAGCGCATGAGACATCGCAGTTGGAAATAGTAGCGTTGGTGTTGTCCTAGGTGCGACCGCAGCGAAAACCGTAGCAAATGGTGAACTTTCACGATCGCAAAAAGTTTTCAGATTTTGTACAGCGATGTGAGAATCAGTCGAGGATTCACTAAACTCCGTTATTGTGCTGGCATCAACTAGTTCAATGCAGTTACATTCAGTTGAAGTATCACAAACATTGTACACAGTCTCTGTGGATGCTTCCTGTGTTTCAAGACCTTCTATTTGTGTCTCGGCTTCAATGAATTCGACGCCTTCCATGTGTGTGGATGTATCACAAGTATCCGTTAGCGCAAGTGTCGCCACATCTGCAGCATGTGTGGGATCTGTTTCAACGCTAGCATCCAAGTAAAGTATACGGTGGGTTTGTGTGGCGCGCGGAAAGCTTAGTACCTCTGTGATCTCCATTGTTTGGGTGCCAATATTCACGACGGGCTTGGCATGCAATTTCATTTCCAACATTTTTTTCTTAATAACAAGTGAGAGTGACTTATAAAACGCGCTAATCTCTCGTTAACGGTTAATAATTATGCTTACCTCTTCCTCAGCGAATTTCAGTTGATCCTTTAAATCGGATTCACGCTCAACCGAGTCCTGTAAATCGCGTAGCAATTGCAGTGGCGGTTGGGGACTTGCGTCTGCAGATGTGGATTTACCTATAATGCCCAACATAGGTGTCTTCTTTTTGCCTGGATTGCGTAGCTCCTCAGTTTCGGCCTGTACACAAGTATAGTAAAAGCAATGAAATAAATTTATGCGATATTTGACGTATTTAAAGAGTTCTTACTTGTAATTTACGTGTTAACTCATTGGCAAAGCGTAACTCCTCCTCAAGCTTCGTGACTTTGGTTAGTAAATCTGTATTGTAATTATTTTGTCTTTCTTGTTCCATAATTTCCACTTTACGTTCATATTTCTTCAACTTGAAATTGAGTATCCGACAGTTTTTCGTCATCTTCTCCAGATCCTTTTGCAGATTAGTTTTCGCTTTTACCTCATCATCGCGATAAGTGTCCTGCAGTTCATCCATTTCGGCTTGCAAATTGATAATCTCCTTTTTGGCATCCTGATTTTCCTCCATCAACTCTTCACACAGCTGCTCGGCCGCCTGAAGTTTTCTTTTCAGATCATACTCGTTGCCTTTCGGATTATTTTCGATTTCTCTCATGCGTGTATTGAGTTTGCGTTTCTCTTCATTGACTTTCTCCAATTGCTCTTTCATTTCGTTTACCTTTTGCTGCAGCGCTAAAGCCTCTGAGGCGGCGGTCCGATTCGAAGCGGTGTCCATCGAGGCGAGCCGACGCAACAAAATATCACTTTTCTCACGTTCGGCACGTTCAGCACGTAACTTCATCGCTTCGTAGTCGGCACGCAACCGCTTCAGTTCGTCCTGCAGCTCTCGATCGTTCGGACCCACCAATGTGGTATCAGTGGTTTCCGTCGTTAGGGAACTCGTATCGTGTGTTTGTCTTTTTTGTGCAAACTTACTATCTTTGATTTTCAGCATGAATTCAACATCTTCGGCCGACTTCAAGCGGCGTGCTTCTTCTTTTTGTTGTTGTTTCAAAGCTGTTGTTGTCGCCGTATTTGTAGATGACTTGGCTGTCGAGGTGATGGAATTCGCACGCGTTCCATTTGTTGTCGCGGCAGCGGTACTCACTGCTTTTGGCGTGCTTACGTTGGACGTGGAAGTATTTGTAGAAGTTGAGGAGGAGGTTGCGGATGCAGTTGTCGTTGTCGCAACTTTCTTCGGTGGCAGGGAATTCCGCTTCGCAGCTGCCTCTGCCACGGAGGTAGTGGATTTGCTGCGTTCCGGTCGATCAGGCGGTGCTTTACTCTCAGTATCACTGGATGAATTGTTATCACTACTTTAGTAACGGATTTTATTTCGTGAGGGTTGGAAAAACATATAAAATAAAAAGCGAGGACAAAACCAAACATGAAGCACTAGCACATTCACTATCTACACAGCAGCGGCAAATGCACATATTGTTAATTGTCAACTTACTCATCACTCTTCTTGGGTATTGAACGTTCACGACTGGATTCTCGGGAGCTTTGGCGCTGTTTCTTCAAAAGATTCATTTTACGTACCCGTTCGGCGAGGCTGTCTGTGGAGAGGATGATTAGATCCTCGGGAATACTTGAACGCGAGGGTGAAGGTGTAGATGACGAGGATGCTGTTTTCGATGTGGACTCTTCGACCTGTGTATGATTGTTTAGTTATCATGAAAAATTATATGAAATAAAATGAAATGGAAAAGAGGAACGAAAATTTAAGATCCAACTTGTTGTCGCTGGCTAATGAGTTGGGCGCCGGAATCTAATACCATGAACTAAATCTCTGACAACTCTACAGGCTTCTGAAGCATTACAGTACCGGGCGGAAGTGATCGCGGCTTGTAAGACGAGAAAGCAAACCTGAATGTCAAATCCTCCGATTGTATTTCTGACAATGAAATAAAAGCTGTTCAAAAACCCATCGTCCGTGTGGAGACGGCTTAGACTAAACTAGAGGTCTCTCCAATTGTTTGAAAAAAACACGAAGACGCTTAGCACAAACTATTGGGTTGCCCAAAAAGTAATTGCGGATTTTTCATATAGTCGGCGTTGACAAANTGGGCGCCGGAATCTAATACCATGAACTAAATCTCTGACAACTCTACAGGCTTCTGAAGCATTACAGTACCGGGCGGAAGTGATCGCGGCTTGTAAGACCATCAAGATCATGTGCAAGGGAAGAATATCGCATCCGCTTTCTGCGCAAAGCAAACCTGAATGTCAAATCCTCCGAGTGTATTTCTGACAATGAAATAAAAGCTGTTCAAAAACTGATCGTCCAACCACGAGAAACTCTGCACACGATGCGGGTATACATCTTTCCTCGACAAAATACCCGACATTATCACCATTCACAATTTAGTAGATTGCAAATGGAAACCACAAGCAGTACAACCACTTACATCTCGATATCGATCGAAGAACTAAGTATCGATTCTTTCTAAACACGACCTCTATGAGCATAACAACCGACTTTATAGCCGGACACTGTCTGTTGCGAACTCATGTTAGAAAGCTGGGTTATTACTCTAATGATTTCAGTTAGTGTGATGTGACATCGTTTTCTCGCAACTCGCCAGCGTCAGCTATATCGTAGATTTTATAAAACCCGGGGGTGATTAGTGAGGGATTATGTAATGCAATATAAAATCGCAAAAATCACAAGAAGCTACAGTGGGTTGAGTATCAAAAGATAAGAAAGGAAGCCAAGCTACATATTGTATATCTGGACAAGGAGATTTACCTTTACTAACTGAGAACGCAAACATTTAATCACTCTTGTACGTCAAAGTTATGACCTCAAACCAAATCCATACCTCTAACTTTAAATTTTAATAATTTTTTTAGACCAAAATACGTCTTGAAAACCTTTCATTTCAACATTATAGTGAGCGACTGTCACCCAAAGTCCATAAAATTATCGACAAAACACTTACCTCCTTTATATCCAACGCCGTCGTGTGTCGCCGTGGCGGTATTGGCAGTTTCACCGTCACATCCACATCGTTCGCCGGCGTACGATTACTAGCGGCTCGTGTATTGCTCTTCGCCGCCTGTTCGTCCGCCTCATCGATGTCCGGTGTGGAAGCCCATGATTGTGGTCGTCGCTTTAGTTCTACATTGAAGTGAACAACTATTAGGTATGTGATGAGCAACAAATATTTTCGTTTTTTTTTTGTTTTTGTTTTTGTTTTTGCAATGCAGTTTGGCGATACGATACGAAACGATTACGATGCGAGAGTTACAGTGCAGTGCATTTTAATGCAGACGAGTACGTTGCCGTGCGGTGAATCCAAATTTACGGTACACGAAACGAGTAAACGATTACGTACGATGACGATGTTTTTTGGTTTTTGGTTTTTTGGTTTTAGTTTTAGTTGAAATGATTTTTTTGTTATTTGTTGTTATTTATTAATTAACCAGAGACAATTTACGTTTACGAAAAAACGACACGATTGCAGTGAGTTATTATTGAAATTGTGTTCATACAAAAGTTGTTGTTGGTATCCAAAAAATATGACAATCGGTGCAAAGTGTTGAATGTCCGCCAAAAGCAGCGAAGTACATACATACATACATATGTTAGAATTTCATTAAATTTTTAAAATGTTTTGATATTCGTAACATTCGAAAACATTTTTTATGAAATACATTACAAAATCTTATTTAAAAATTGTTTATGGCAATAAAATATATTTTAATGTTTTGAAAAATTAAAAGCATTCACAAGTTGTCCAAATGGAACTGGCACATAGTTAAGAAGTGTCAGGGTTTCAGGGGATTCTGCGAACTTTTATGCAGATTTGCTGAATTCAAGTTAATGTTAATAACGGTTAATGAAGTACATTGCAACATACATTCTGTCCGAAAAGTACCGGGAGCTAGTCAATAAAGCACCAAAAAAAATTTATTCACTTAAATTCATTAAATGCGTTTTCTTTTGCACCCAACCTGCAAAAGAACGCACAGGTGGCTTATTTTCAACTCGCTTATTATTTGTACTTAACTTGCATCACTGGTGTTAGCTGTCAATGTAAAGGGTGTTTGCTAAACTTGTGGTTTTCAATGACGTAATACTTTTTTTTGTCAACAGTTGCTACTTTGGACTGAGTAGGCAATTACAAAGTAAAGTCTTCTGCCGACAAACAAAAACCAAACTTTACAAGTCCCAACGTCGTACCCGTTCTACTATATAGTGCGGAAGCATGGACGATGAAAACATTTGATAAGTCGGCGTTAGGAGTTTTCGAGAGAAAGGTTTCGCGTAACATTAATGGTCCTTTGCGAGTTGGCAATGATGAATATCGCAGACGATAAAACGATGAGCTGTACGAGTTATACAGCGACATTGATATAGTACAGCGAATCAAGAAGCAGCGGCTACGTTGACTAGGTCATGTGATCCGTATGGATGCAAATACTCCTGCTTTAAAAGTTTTCGATGCAGTACCCGCCGGTGGAGGTAGAGCAAGAGGAATACCTGCATTCTGTTGGAAAGATTAGGTAGAGAAGCAGCTGGCTGTACTTGGTATTTCCGATTGGCGCCAAACAGCAAAACGAATAAACGAATGGCGCAATGTTGTTAATTCGGCTATAATCGCGTAAGCAGTATCTACGCCAGTAAAGTAAGTATCTTGGTTTTCGCACTTACAAAATTCAGCTCGTGCAAGAATCGCAGCCGAACGACCCAACAAGCTCGTCGAACGTTTGGTGAATGTGCCAAAACGACATGGCCATAGATGAAAATTTTCAGAAGAAAACTTTTGATTGATTGGACACATTAATAAACGAAATTGGTCAGCCACTGCTGACACGTCTTTAGTGTAGAGGGCATGATTTGTTCATATTTCTTCAGAAATGAAACCGTCCATAATGTTACAATCAATGGGTAACGCTTTAGGGCCATGATTAATGACTTGTTCGTGATTCAATTGGCAGATGTTGATGTAGACGACCTTTAGTGCCAACAAGACGGTGCTATATGCCATACAGCTAACAAAACAATGAACTTACTGAAGGAATATTTTGAAGAATCTATCTCGGGTCGTGGGCTTTGGCATGTCCTCCAAGATTATGCGATTTAACAACGTTGGATTATTTTTTAAGGTCTTCGCAGATATACCCGAATCGATTTACGCCTTGAAAGAGAATATTCGACATGTTGATGGCATACGGTCCCAGTGGCAAAAAAAAATTGAGCCTTTCAGCTGAAATTTGTTCGAACCAGTCGGGGCGGTCACTTGCCCGAAATCATTTGTAGAGCACAATGGCTAATCCTTGTCGTTGCAGTAAAGCTAAATTCTTGGTCATTACCTTAAATTATAAAAGTTTTATTTCTTCTTGAAAACTACATGTCTGAAAACACCCTGGGAGATGGCCTGTCAACATTGAGGACTGTAAGTAAATATAACAACAAATGGCGCTCATAATCAAAGTCACCGCAGAGGACAGCCTGTACGGTAGTGACAAACAGAATTTTTTTAAATAATTAATTCCCGGTAAGTTTTGGACAGACTATTTTACTATATGTTATAGGTATTGGAAATTTCAAAACACTTGGTGAATAATAAATCGATCGTAATTCTACAATAGTGCAAAAACAATAATAATGTAACAAAAATATGTAGATATAAATATGTAATATTAGGCGATTTAAAAAAGAAAATAGAAGCATGCTGGAAAATAAATCATATGTCTTGCCTTATTATTGAAGAATTAAATATTTAGTAAACATTTCTAAGCAATTTAATTTATTTTACACATTGCGTTTTTGGAATTTTTTTTACATAAAACCCTCAAATCCACTTTTATATTTATTAAATGCAGGAAATTCATTTTAATTCAATCAACATCTCACACTCTGGAGTGGTGGGCACACCAAGGAAAAAGGGAGTCTCTATTATACTCACACTTATAAATAATATAGCCATAGCTAAGCGCGAAAACTAACATTTACAGGCCTATCCTCACTGTTACCAGTAAAGTAAATTTTGTTACTTTTCCTTAACACCCGAAATTGAATTTGGTATTCTGGCGAATTGGTTACAATGTTTGGAAAAAATTTGGCAGCACTGCTTTTTTCGCCCTTGTCAAGTTACATTTGCCAGTTGATAAAGTAAAAAGAAAAATATTCTCATCGTAATGGAAGACGGTGCACAAAAAAATTAAAAAGTTTTATTAATTTGTTTATGAAATCATAAATATTTGAACCTAATTATGGAAAATATGCCTGGACAATAAAAAAAAGCTGCATGAAGACGTTATCTTACAAATTAAAGGGCTATTTTTTAGTCTCGAAAACTTCTTAAAATACGGATTTTTGCACTTTTTTCCTTCAACTTCAATAAATCACAGGCCTAAATTATGCCTACCCTTTTCGGTTTTTTATTTTTTCTCAAATTTACAACACAAAATCAAACAGCAGATATTTTTGTTACCTCCTATTTCGCTGGTATCAAAATTTACAGGGTAACAATGAGCTCAGAATACGAAATGGTAACAAAATTTACTGAATGGTAAATTTTAATACCTAAGTAAAAATTGTTACCTCGACAGAATAGGCCTGTTATTGTCTACATTTAAAGGACTATCTCTATGTGAGACTTCACACTACTAAAAGGATTAGGGTGGGAAGTTGATAGGTACTTAGTATATCCCTTTTTTCTAACCATTAGGTATGTAGAATTTTGAGCAAAATTCTCAGCTCTTAGAAAAAGTGTCGCCTGAAACCCTCGAAATTGAAAGGAACACAAAGTAGGTGGCAGGTACTCTATATTTGAGGAGTTTACTGGGGATAAGGTTTAACAATGTGCCTGCCCTTTGGAGAGAGAAAGGCTGTATTCATACCGAATATAATATATTCTACTCCATACGAATGAATATAGACCAAGAAGTTTTTCCTCATTCCTTCTTAAAATTGAGACACAAGTATTTAGGAAACGTAGATTCATAGAAACTACACTTTACTCGCTAATACTAAATATGGAAGAGACTCTGGAGCAAAAGGAATACACCAGCGATGTATGTATCTCTGGACATAAGTGGAGCATTCAACATTTGTACAAGAAATTAATCGTAAGGACTCTGGAAGAACTTACCATTGTCCAATGGATAAAAGGTCAACTTAGCTACAGAAAGGTTAACGCGGACCAAATCAGAGTACACATGCCAGCGTGTTGTTACCGCTCATCTGGTCACTCTAAACAAACAAGGTTTTGAAAAAGTTAGGTGTGAAAACACTTGAGCTAATTACCTATGCAGATGATCTAGAATATATATTATATATATATAATTGGCATTGTGTAACCACTAATATATGATTTATGATAAACTTTTATTTTATGCCAGAAAGACATGACATTCCCTGCCGAAGGTCAACCGCAATTACAAAAATTAAATTTCTGTATGATAATTTTATGTTTGGACTCACTTGGACGTAAATCCTGTGCTTTCGGGTTTTATTACGTAATGATAACCACCCAAAAAAATGCTATTACTCTATAGTGTTTTTGTTCTAAAATCGAAAACCATTCTAGCGAATACAGCGGTTCTCTCCGCTCTGCATAAAAAAGAGCACTAAAAACTCTCAGTAGAAGTTGAAGTAAAAAAGCTTTGCTGTAACCTTCAGGTCTAGAGTAATAAGCAAGTGAAAGGTGGGCCAAATAAATTTAGCTGAGAAAGAAAATTTCAAGCCACATAAAAAGAGGGTTGGTGAGGCAAGCTCGTCAGCGAAACCAACGAACGGATCAAAAATGGCGGTTCCGACATCTAAATCTCTGGCATACCTATAAGTTAAGTTAACTTAAGTTAAGGAACTATTGTAGCACCGTGCTTTAGCAAACCACATTTAAAACATAAAAATATATATTTATGTATACTCGCACGTTGACAGCGGCAGGTGGCAATTAGTCTAATCTCAAATTGCGTTACTTTAAAAATGGAGAAGCAGAGGGAGGTAGCCATGAGTGAGACGTTGGAACTATACGACCTTATCTAAAACAAAGCGATAGTTATAAATAGAACGATCATAACATAAACCGATCAAGTGGAACGAATAAATTCCTTTAAAGATACAAGATTTTTATGGACGATGACACTGAACGAAATACTCACAGAACTCCACGGAAGAGGAGTGAGGTAATGCTTATATAAAGGAACTAGTGTTTGATGGTATCCGCACTGGTTTCTTCGAAAATCAGTTATTTGCGAAGATTACTACCTGGAGCAGCCTTAAACAAAGTAGGTGTTAATTCCGGAAAGACGAAGTTAAGCTTAGAGTTAAGCAATCGGGGTAAATCAGACTATAACTTTTGATATTAGACTACAGTGACTACTTTCCATGCGTATATCTCCTTGACATGAATGAAGGAAAAGTGTTACATTGGTGGATGATACTATCTAAATGCAACGGAGGTCTAAAACAATAGAGTCTATATGCGTTGACAGCAACATCTTCCAAGTGGAAGCACTAGGTCTATGCTCTGCAGATTGTTGAGTATGAGGACCAATATCACAAGAGAAGAGACTGAAATCGTTGCTCACTTCCCCTCCAACAGATTTAAAGTTAATCGATAATTAAACTCTTAATAAAAAATTCACTCACAAACGGCTTCGTCTATAATATTGTATTAGAGTAATTTAGTAAAATCAGTACCTTTGTATGTATAAAAATAAATTGTTGGGAATGAGAAATTTTTGTAAAAAATGTTATTATTTACAATGGCAATGTACGAATATGAATTTAGTCTTACACATATCAGGTGTACAACTTTGCTTCCGTCGTTTTTTTTTCCAAAATTAAAAGCTTTATTGTGAAAAAGTGCTTACGGATATATTGTATTATTCAAAGTATTGTCCTTCGCTAGCGACAACTTTCACCCATCTTTCCGACAATTTTCGGATCCCGGCTCGAAAAAAGGAGTCCTCCATTTTTCCAATTCTTCGAAGGATTGAAAATGTTGATCTGCCAGACCGTGTGTCATCGAACGGAATAGGTGGAAGTCAGAAGGGGCGACATCTGGGGTATACGGTGGGTGGGGTAAGACTTCCAATTTCAGCGTTTCCAGATACTTTTTGACCACTTTTGCGACGTGAAGCCAAGCATTGTCGTGTTGGAGGATGACTTTGTCATGTCGCTCTTGATATTGTGGCCGCTTTTCTTTTAGCGCGCGACTAAGGCGCATCAGTTGCGTTCGGTAGCGATCTCCTGTGATGGTTTCATCTTTGAAGGTATTTTCTCTTCCACCACCATGTTTGTCTTCGACATCGAAATCATCATTTTTAAAACGTTGAAACCACTACCGACACGTTCTTTCACTCAGAGCAGCATCACCGTAAGTTTCTGAGAGCATTCGATGCGCTTCAGCTGCATTTTTTTTTTTTTTTTGAATTGTAAGAGAAAAGTAAAACTTCTCGCAAATGGCGAGAATTAGGCACACAAACGAACATTTTCGAGCGTGAATAATACGAAAACAAGAACAACTGTCACTGAAACGACGATGACAATTCGCTAGGCACTATCCACACTCACTTTAAAGGCATTATCATCTATGTATTTCAACCAGCCTCAGCCGGAATAGCCACCTATCGGAAAACGGCGGAAGCAAAGTTGTACACCGGATAACATTTTTTAAAATGATATTATTTACAATGGCAATGTACGAATATGAATTTAGTGTTACACATATATACACAAATATACAAACATTTACATTTAATGCAACTTTGCAAAGCTTCAAAATTCAAAAATGAAATATACAAGCTTCAGTAGTAAGAAATAAAGTTTCAAGTATTCCAAAAGCTATGTATTTGTATATGCATATACTTATGGGCCGATTGCATACCAATATCATTACTACTCCCCGTTCCATTAAAACTGGACAGATTCTGTGTAGAGGTCCAAGTGCGTGATGATGGTCTAAGAGATTAAGGTTGATTTTATATAACCTACTGTTTTTCTATTTAAATGACAATTATATATATTAAATTACCTGGAACCACCGCCATCTGTTAAATTTGGTGACGAGACCGCTACGTCCTCAATACCACGCCGACCGCCATGCTCCTTATAGTCACGAAAACAACGTTTACATCGTGTGGGATAACGTGTCTGGGGATGAAACCCCAGCGGACACAATTGGTCACCTTTTAGTGACGGATATAGATGATGCATTTAAGGTATGAGTCGTCGTGATTGATAAAATTTGCAATTTAGAGCTGAAATTAAAAACAAGGATACGTTAATCTTAGTGTAAACAAATTCAGCAAAAAAACTGATATATAAATTATTGAAGCCAAAAGTCTTCAATATTTGAAAGCCACTGGAAGTTTTCCGTCCCAATGGCGACGCAGTTTTAAGAATACAATCTATCTGTCACGGCTTGAATCCTCTTTATTTATATATATAATAAGCGTCTTGTAACTGCTAAAGCGATTTTCGGCCGAGCTCCATCTCTTACTTGTGTTTTGTGTCTGCCGCATCCAAACGGCGGATGTCTTTTTTTATGAGGAGCCTTTATTTCAGGTCAGAAATACATTCGGAAGGGTCGATATTCCCTGTCGAGGGCCGAACGCAATGAGAAAAATTAACCAAATTTTTTATTTAAATTAAGTTTCTATAATTTTAGACGTTAGTCGGGCCAGTACTCGAACACTGTTCTTCCGAAAAGCGGTACGCAATGCTAACCGCTCGCCTATCGCGGCCGATTGATTCAAAACTTTTGGTTCCCCTGCAAAGAGGCGTCCACCGAAAATAATAATATGGTTATGAACCACATTTACAACGTCTTAACTTCTTCTTTATTGGCACCGCTTGCGCGGTTAAAGCCGAATCACTATCAGCGCACCATTCATACCTTCTTTTCGTTGTTCGGTCCCAGTTAAAAGTACCAGGTGAAACCAGGTCACTCTCCACATGTTTCTTCACTCGAAGACTCTCAAAGCCAACTCATCCGATGTCGACATCATCCATGCTTCTGCGCCATATAGTACAATAGGACGGGTAGGATTAGCGACTTGTAGAGTTTGTTTTTTGTTCGGCGAAAGAGGACTTTAATTTATAGTCATAACTGGTATATAAGCTTTCGTTCAAGAAGATCCAATAAATATGTATTTATTTACATTCGTAAAATCAATGGAAGACAATACAAACTATGAAAAATTTACCAGTTCCAGAATAGAGCAGAAGGACCTTAATCTGGAACTTAAATAGTTTATCTATCTCGAACACTATTTTGTTATTTTGAGGTAGATTTTTCAGTGGTAGATGCCCCATCAATACATCCTCAAGAATAATTGCTTAGTGTCAATAACAGTTTTATTTGTCTGTAATTTTCTTAACGACGACCCCAGCTATACCCACCTCCCACTAACCGACCTAGAGGCACGGCTGAAGGATAAGTGAAAAATACTAGAGACCAGTGACCGAAAACTAGTCCGTAAATTGGTTGAACGTTGGGAGTGGATTGCCGAACATGATGGCGAATACATAATTGATTAATAAAAGCGCTTTCTTCAAAAAATTTCAATTTTAGTTTGCACTTGAAATCGGGCACGAACTTATGCACTCATCCAATATTATGTCATCAAAATTGCTCTAGGGTAAAAAACTTTAAAGACCTCAGAACATTCGACCAATTTTCTTCCATGAAATGTTAGTACCGTCGAGCCAGTTCCAAACGATTTTTCCTTTTCTTTTCTGAGAGCCACGGCTTCTTTCGGGCTTTACATCCTTTTAAACTTTCTTCCAGAAGTCTTCTTCCAGCTGCCCGAGCACTAACTGACTTACTAAATTCATCCGAAAGGGCAGCTGCAAGGGCAGAAGCAGATTTTTTTGCGATCCTTGAGAGACTCGCGTAACTTTTGGCCAAAGCTGTACAGTTCTACATTTTTCGGCAACGTAACGTTTTGCTAGTCAAGCTTTCAATACATTCTTTCAAACGAAATTTTATGTTTACTTACCTATACATACACGGTGTGTCCCAAAAATAACCGAACTTTTTGGATATAAAATAAAATACACATTAAATTATCTTTTAAAGTTATTATTTATTCAAAATGGGTTCCATTTGACACAACACAACGTTTGGAACGATCAATCAGCGCATGCATAGATTTTGTTATGTCATTTATAGAAATCTTCTTCAGTACCTCGGTTACAGCTGCTTGAATGGCTGGGATATCATCATAAAATGCTCCCTTCATCTTGATTTTCAGTTTTAGAAATAAAAAATAGTCACATGGTGAGAGATCAGGCGAATACAGAGGATGGTCGATGAGAGAAATCCCTCTTTTCATTAAAAATTCGAGCGGAGTTTTTGGTCGTCTTTAATTCATGTGGAACAAATCGCGCACAGACCTTTCTTCTCCCCAAATCTTCAGTTAAAATTCTCCAAATAGTGTTTTTACTCGTATTCACTTCCTCAGCCAACATTCTCGTAGTAAAGTGATTTCACGGACTTTTTCCACCAGTTCAGCACGATCACTAGTTTCTGGACGTCCTGTTCTAGGGTCGTCATTTAAATCCTCACGACCATTTTTAAATCGTTAAACCACATATAAACTTGCGTACGACTCATATAATCATCACAATAAACTTTTTTCATGAATTTTCTTTCAAGTTTGACACAAAATTTTATATTTGCTCTTTGTTCCATTTTATTTTTGAACCACTAGCACACTTTTGGTTTTATTGAAATGGCTGTCACTTTTATATCTGTCATCCGACTTACATGAAGTTAGGTGCCTTTGAAAGAGGATGAATGTATCTTTTTAATGTTGCAAATTTTCAGTAGATGGCGCTGTATGTTGTATGATTTAAATATAAAGTTCGGTTGTTTTTAGGGCACACGTATGTGCTGTCTGAAATATTATACATTTCAAATGTCTGATCTGGTGAAGCTGATTTCAAGGAAGTATGAAACCCTTAAAATATAATATAATACATAGTTTTTTATACAGATTATTTCCAATAAAACCACATTATCAACTGCTCTTCTTCATTACTTTAACATGAAGAAAAGTGCTGCCGAAAACGATCGTATTTTACTGGACATTTATGGTGACCATGCTTTAGCCGAACGAACGTGCCAAAAGTGTTTTGAGACTTAGACGACGGAGAACGACCCGGACAGCCAAAAAAATTTCAAGACGTAGAATTGGATACATTGCTCGACGCAGATGCATGCCAGACACAAGAAGAACTTGCAAAAGTATTATGACTAGATCTTCCAGACGATTAAAATCATTAGGATTCATACAGAAGCTTGGAAATTGGGTGCCTTATAAATTAAATCCAAGAGACGTCGAACGTCGATTCTGCATGTCATTTACATCGGATTGTGACTGGCGATGAAAAATGGATTTATTATGATAATCCAAGCGCAAGAGATCGTATGTGAAGCCCGGCCAACCATCGATATCCACGGCAAAGCCGAATATCCATGGTGCCAAGGTTATGCTATGTATTTGGTGGGACCACCAGGGTGTGCTCTATTATGAGCTTTTGCAATAGGGTCAGACGATCAATGGGGACCTCTACCGAAAACAATTGATTCGTTTGGAAAAGGCCATCGCGGAAAAACGACCAGAATATGCGACCAGCCACGAATCAATAATTTTTCATCATGACAACGCTCGGCCACATGTTGCAAGGCCAGTTAAAAACTATTTGGAAATTTTGGGTGGAAGGTTCTACCTCACCCGCCTTAAAGCCCACTTTTACTCACGATTACCACTTGTTCAGATCAATTCAGAATGCCCTCACCGGAGTACGATTCACTTCAGAACAGGGTATCAGAAATTGGCTCGATTCTTTCTTGACCTCCAAGCCGGAGAAGTTCTTTTGGGATGTGATCGACAACTTGCCAGAAAGATGCGCAAACATCGTAGCTTCCGATGGGCACTACTTTGAACATTAAATATATAACAATTTTTTCACAATAAAGTCTTAGTTTTCGAAAAAAAACGGCACGAATTATTGCATACACCTAATAATAAAATTGCAGCATATTCCTATTGAGGTCAGCATAAATTAGTTAGTTTAAGAGTGTTGAGTAATGAAATGTTATTCCGCTAGATAAATCCTTGTATTGTTGGTAGGAGATAACAAAATAGATTTGAGTTAGGAATCCAAAAAAAAATTAATAAAATACTTAAATAATGACACCAACTGCAGAGGAGCATTATTAGTAAAATACAAAATTTCCAGGCAAGATTGCAAAATCGGTAAAAAGGAAAAGCTTCAGAGATTTAACACTTAACCCACCAGGACAGGTCAAATGACCCATTTTAAACTTTCTGTCAGAATATCTTTCAAATAAGCTTATGGTAGAGCCGTTTGTCTGTCCAACTTTTATACAACTTTATTAATGAAATTTTTTTTCAAGATCTATTACTCACTCACTAAGTTTTTTTTTATCGATAAATATATGTAAACTGCCTAACTATCGCAATGGGTCATTTGACCCATGCAAAGATTCTGTCTTGGTTTGTATTTCTTTTATTACCTAACAGCTGTACTGGGCATTTATAACACTGTGTGATATACATATTTTGCATCAAGCGAGTATTTCACGAATCGAGAATTCTTATTTAATCATTTTACCAATAATTCTTATCCCAAAAATTTTTACTCTTTAGCGATATTTTATATCTTTAGAAAGCACAGACGTATTCAAGTTCTCAGGTAAATAAATAAATATACGACGAGGACAAAAAAAAGAAAACCGTTATGCAGTTAAAAAAGTAACATTGACCTAGGAGATGGTTGTAATTAAATTTCGGCCGATGATACAACTTCTGATTGACCTCCAATACATAATATTTTTAAGGAGATTGTGGGCTCTAATGCCAAAAAAAATGGGACCACAAAGAAAATATCACCAAATTCAGGCTCAAATTCCAGAGTACAAGTGCGAAAAGGATGAAGTATGGAACGACTTGGCGTATTTCAAGAGCTGCCATTTCATCCAGAAAATACAAAACAACGGTTGGGTGTGCTTTGTGGGCCGTTGGAATCATCGGCCATGATAACCAACTATTTGATGCCTAAAATTGAATCTCGTGATCTCGGCGACATTTGGTTTCAACAAGACGGCGCCACTCCCACACATGGCATCAATCAATGGATTTATTTTGAAAACATTTTGGTGAGCAGAGAATTTCTCGTTTTAGGCCGGTCGAATAGCCAACAAGATCGTGTGATATTATACCGTTAAACTATTTCCTGTGGGGATATGTAAAGTCTGAAGTCTCTCTTCGATTCAGGCCTTGGAGCAACACATCACGCATTTCCTTCTCGTGCTCGAACGAGTCATCGAGAATTGGACTTAACGGATAGACCATCTGATACGTTGCCGCGGACAGCACTTGAATGAAATAATCTTCAAGAAATGTATGCCGAAGTATGTTCTTTCGAGTGCGGTGTGTGATAACAAATGAAATTTGAATTTTCTATGTATTATTCTTTAAAACAGTAGAGAACCTCAAAATGGATAACCCTTTACTCAAATGCTTTAAGTATTTTTACGAAATGAAAGATCCAAATATACTGACAAATGATACTAAACATTACAAAACTTATTGTGGGGTCGCCTCCAAGATCGTACGATTTTGGTGTTACGTGAAATCAAGAATAGTCACGTCACTCCGAGAACACGCTGGCTGACAAGCCAATAAAATACGGGTTGCGACGCAGTGGAATACGCTGAGGACATTGTCTTCAGAGCCAATTGAAAACACTTCCAGAACTTAAACGGTCTGCTTCAAAACGCCCTCTGTGCGGTAAGTAGCTGGTGCAGTATGTGTGGTCTGGATGTAAATCTTCCAAAGACTGAACTGGTAATCTTCACTAGAAGGTACAAATGATCTGCTTTTAAACCATCCTTACCCAAAGGCACTGAGAACGCTCTTTCTACTGAAGTTAAATACCTAAGCATAATCTTAGACAGCTTTTGGAATCGGAACATGGTAGAAAGGTGTAAGAAAGCTACAACCACTCTCCACGTCTGCAAAGCTGCAAGGAAACTGTGACCGCATATGGTTGCTCATTTCTAATACGGTAACCTAACAATATATTTTGACTGCCAGGCTGAAATTGAGTTTTTCCAATACAATCATACCACCTCAGAGGTAGCAATAAAATGCAGAGAGACAAACACTCGGCGTAACGTCCGTGTTTTCGGTCTATCGTCACAGAAACATACGAGGGAACTGTGTGGCCAACAAGCTTGTTAAGTAATATTTCTAACCAAGATAAGCTTCATACATGAGGTGAGCATACCGCTTTTCTCGGCAAAGTGTCTGCTGAGTTTAGCCTTTACTGGAAGGTCCAACAGCTATCGCTGATGAGCTCTCAGTGCGCTCTGTTATCGTTTTCTCGCAAATTTCTTCTTCGATCGCCGTACAGAGCTTGTGTCGGTAGTCGCCATTATTGCCCTGAATTCCATAAAACACACCAAGTGGCTTGAGCACTTGGAAAGGATGTAAGGAATCTCTTTATAGGGCCAACATAGGTATAGCACCTTGTTAAAATACAGGGTCTGGAACTCAAAGTGTAACCAAATTCAGACCTCTCACACAACTGACGCACGGGTATCATCTGTCTGTAAGTTAGCTAAATGATAGCTCAGATTGGATTTCAAATGTAATTGCATTATATAATTGTTAGCTGTAAAATCCCAACCAGCGATTGTTCGAGAGCTCAAACACCGTAAAGTGTATAAGTTTTCGTTTATCGCGACATAAGACGGAGATGGTCATCAAAAGACCGCAACGTCACGTGAGATGGTTCAAGAAGTGGAAAAGTGGACTTGAGAGAAATCGGTACCAATCAAATGGCGAAAGAACTGAAAATATCTGAGCCTAGCATTCGCTGCATACGGAAAAATGATCCTGAGATGAAACCTTATAGGATCCAAAAGGCGCATGATTTCACACTCAAGCAGCAACAAGTCAAACTTGAAAGAGTGAAGAAGTTGCTTAGCGAAAAGTGTGTTTTCTGACCCTCCACAGGCAATTTGCGCCGCTGTAACTTTGAAGCCGTGGGCAGACAATCGTTTCGGTGGTAGATATGGACGTTTCAACAGGATTCAGCAGGGTCTGATAAAGCTCCAAGAATGGCCGAAAAGCAAAGTTCCGAACTTCATATCGTACACGCAATAGCTCTCAAATTCAACCGACGCTAATCTGATGGATTATTCTTTTAAGGCCATTTTAGGAAAGCAAGGTTCGTACTAAAAGATACACCAGTGTCGAGGCGCTGAAGAAAGCCGTTGTTTGCGAGTGGACCAAAACATCTGCAACTCAACGTGCAAGCTTGCGATTTGTTTTTGGACCGTCTCAAAACCGTAATCAAGAAAACCGGCGCTCTTATCGAATAAATTTTTTACGAATTTTGTATTATTTTCACATATATCACGATACATGTACTTTGAAATGATTAAAAGTATTTTCCCAACTGAATTTTTAGCTGGTTAAACTTCGAGTCGAGTGGAGACCCTGTAACCAACTGTCGCGTACTGGCCGCAACAAAAACTTCTTTTGTGTTTGTTTGTTCACTTCCTTTGTTTTGCCTAAGCTTCCTTTCACTCCAAGCGTTGGCAGTGACATCTGTCGGCAAATAGATGCATTATTTCAAGCCAGGGATTGATGGCACGGCTGCATTCGGTGCGTGCCTACCCAGTGGTATAAGTCTCCAAAAGGAGGTTCCCCAAAACGGTTCCACCACTAACAAATATTAGGGTAGCGGAATGCTTTACGCGGGAATTCCGTAAAAAGGCGTGTCGCCTGCTTCCTTAATGCGGCGAGGGGAAAAATTAAGCCAGTGTACTTGGTGTGCCATGGTGGCGTGCGCTAAACAACCCGGTCTCTTTGGGTAATGGGGGCGGCGCCAAATGATTGGGCACCAATACACACTCGCAGGAGAATTTTGAAGGCCGACGCGTAGCTTGCGGCCAGGCTCGTAAGTGCGTGCCGGATTAGATTCTTGCAATCTAAAAAAGAGCGAACATCTTTTTACGCAGGCGTGCGGTTTGTTTAAAAAAAAAAAGAAAAAAATAAATAAACAAATATTGTATTATAGTGTAGTGTGCCAGGTGAGGCAAAGTAGTGAAAGCTTTAAGCCAGTCGGGGCTTGTTTAAGGGCAGTCGATGACCAGTGCAGAATAGGTTTTTTTATATGCCAGTGTCGGAACCAGAGTTTGGCGTCGGCATCAGCCGGAGAAGCACCGAAGTCGGGACGCACACCCGACAAGATATCCACAGCGGACCAATTAAAAATGAGTTCAACAGGTGTCAATCTGGATACAATTAAATAAACCTGCAAAGGCAAATAAATTTCAAATCTTGAAATCTGTGATGAAAAGCTATTAACCAATTAACCGATTAACATAAACTTAATCAACAGGTGAATATAATAATATGAATATGTATTTTATTAGTTTTCGAAATACAAACATATATTTATGTACAAAACACATGCATGTGTAGTGATATGTATGTAGAAGTGTACGCCAACATATGGTATTTCAGGAAACGAAGAGCACGAACGATTTCTAAATGTTTACGAAACCGCAAAAAAAAAAAANATAAATCTGAGTTATTCCGCAAAAAGTATTGAGAGAGCTTACAAAAGTAGATGAAAAATATGCGCAGTGGGATATTTCAAAAATATTGCGCATGTTTTTTTTATAAAACACAAAGAATGTAAGGAAACGAAAAAAAAAAAACAAAAACGAACTCAACAAAGAGAACGTTTAAAGATTAGAGCAGAAGCTGCTCTCTAGAGTGCAGTTTTATGGCAACGAGCGAAATTTATTAAAAGAACAAAAGAAACTTTTGCTCCACTTCTGTTTTCGGTTATTCAAATTGCATTCCCTCGTAACCTATTTTTGTCAGCATATCCCGAAATTTTCGAAAACGCATTTAAGCTAATAAAAGAAAGAGACACGCGATAAAATAAGAAAATTACAATTAAATATAATATGAAATATTGTGATGGCGTGCTCAATCATTACTGGCGCCGCCACTGGATACTTACCTAAAATGTGGGGGTGTGAGGCTGACGTTCGCTGTGGCGTTGGCAGCAATAGAAATTACAATATTTTAGCAATATGACGTCAAGACGTTGCGTGTTTTTGTAGTTCCTGGTATGGGGGAAAACGCTTCAATTAATGTATTTTTATTTTCTTTTGATTTTTATTTATTTAATTTTTTTTTTATTTATTTTTTTTTTTTATTTCTGAACAGTCCTGCTGTTTTGTGGAATTTTTGAATTAAATTGGTCTTTGTGTTTCGTTGTCTACTGGTTGATAATATTGGCATATGTTTATACAATAATAGTAATGTTTGGATTTGAAAAGTCAAAAATGCATTCGGAAATTTTTATTTCAATTAACACCAATAAATTTTTTCGACGTACCGCACATTCACATATATAGTATATAATTACATACTGACTTATTAACTAAACTAAAATCACAAATTTCTGATTAAATCTAGTCGCTGAGTTATTCGTATAGTTTACATATACATACCAAAACTTTTTTTTAAAGCAAAGCTCACTACTTAATTCGGAATCTCATTTCAAATAAAAACATCTAAAAAAAAAAAAAAAAAAAAAAAAAAAAAAAAACATTTTTAAAATCAGACAAAAGTATGATATTCACAGCTCTGTACAGCTCTGAGAGATATTCCTTAAACTCACAAAAAAAATAATCCCTCTGCGAACTTTTTGAGCAACATCAAAGCTAGCTCGTGAAAGCTTTAAGTAATTCGACATCACCTATCTCGTACAAACTTACATAATCATACCTCAAAATCGCTGTCTAATAAGCCGATCTCAGTGAAAACTCAATCAATACTTCAAATCTTAAATGTTTTCAAGAATTATCGAATGAAAATTACATTAATAATTTAAATAAAAATGATCAGGTGCACAACTTTGCTTCCGCCGTTTTTCGATAGGTGGCTGTACCGGCTGAGGCTGGTTGAAATACATAGGTGATAATGCCTTTAAAGTGAGTGTGAACAGTGCCTAACGAATTGTCATAGCCGTTTCAGTGACAGTTGTTCTTGTTTTCGTATTATTCACGCTCGAAAATGTCCGTTTATGTGCCTAATTCTCGCCATTTGCGGGAAGTTTTACTTTTCTGTTACAATTCGAAAAAAAAAAATGCAGCTGAAGCGCATCGAATGCTCTCAGGAACTTACGGTGATGCTGCTCTGAGTGAAAGAACGTGTCGGGAGTGGTTTCAACGTTTTAAAAATGGTGATTTCGATGTCGAAGACAAACAAGGTTATTATTTGTATTTGGTGGGATCAGCTCGATGTGATGAAACTATCACAGGAGATCGCTACCGAACGCAACTGATGCGCCTTAGTCGCGCGCTTAAAGAAAAGCGGCCACAATATCAAGAGCGACATGACAAAGTCATCCTCCAACACGACAATGCTCGGCCTCACGTCGCAAAAGTGGTCAAAAAGTACCTGGAAACGCTGAAATGGGAAGTCTTGCCCCACCCGCCGTATTCCCCAGATGTCGCCCCTTCTGACTTCCACCTATTCCGTTCGATGGCACACGGCCTGGCAGATCAACATTTTCAATCCTTCGAAGAATTGGAAAAATGGATTGCTTCATGGATAGCGTCAAAAGAGGACTCCTTTTTTCGAGCCGGGATCCGAAAATTGCCGGAAAGATGGGAGAAAGTTGTCGCTAGCGAAGGACAATACTTTGAATAATATATCTGTAAGCACTTTTTCGCAATAAAGCTTTTAGTTTTGGAAAAAAACGGCGGAAGCAAAGTTGTACACCTGATAAGTTAAATTTTTTAATTGCGGTCGCCCTTCGGCGGGGAATGGGGTGGACATGAAATAATTACAACTCGTAAAAAACCCATCAGCCGTTCGGAGGTGGCTCAGTATAAACTGTAGGTCCCTCCATTTGTTGGAAAAAAATCAAGATGAAAAAACCATTAGAGTTTAGGAGAAGCTCGGCCGAAAATGGCTTCAGCGGTTACATATATATATATATATATCCTACTATGTTAAAATATATGAAAAAAAGAATAGTTTAGGCGAAAAGCTCTTTATATTTCAGATATCAAGCAAATCGAATTATGAATACGATATGTCCGAACAGATCTCCACATATTGACCTTGGCAAAAAGCCATAAGTTTCACATACTTGATAAAACCGAATCATCGAATCGACCTCAAGACCACTCACCCGGAGGAAAAAAAAATTTAAAAATAAATTTGATTTTTTTCGCATTGATCGGTCCATTGTACCCTCCCCGAAAAATCAAACATTCCCAATGGGAATTCAAGCCCACTGTATCTGTATTGTATCAAATGTTATTTAAGTCAAGCGATAAATACAAATTTATCGAATAGATTGGTTCCGGGTCCACTTCACGGGAGAAAAACTGTTCCTCATATCAATTTAGGCAAAGAGCCACCTGTGTACTAAATTTCATGTCTACCAAGTTTCTGTTCGCTATGAACAGTAGTTTGGGCTGTGGGTTGATACGTCGGTTTTCCAGGACCTTTATTTATATATATTATGGTTCCGATGCTTTTTTGAAAACAAATGAAGCGACCTACAGTTTATTCTAAGCCGTCTCCCAATTCTAATGATTATTATGAGGAGCTTTTTACTTCATTTCAAAAATATACTCGGAACGGGGTGGATGTTTGTTGGATCAAGATTTGAACTCTTCACACTCCGCATGGTAGCGTGCACTGCAAAATTTTCATATTGTATTTTGTATTAAAGGAGAAGAGAAGAGTTATAAATAGCAATGAAACTAGCTCCTCTTCAATATGTGATTGTTATGTAGTATCAGGTGCTAGAGGCCCCAAAGAGTCAGAGTCCTTGTAAGGATATTTTCTTATTGTTATTTTACGATACAAGAGAGCTACCGATTAATATTTCATACCCATTTATTATAATGATTTCCATTAAGTTTATCTTCGTAATTAGATCCGCTGGCAAAATTCTAACTCAGCGTTAAAATATTTGTGGCAGAATGTTCGTTACCGTCACATTTGCCACTTTCACTTACATACACCGTGTGTCCTAAAAATAACCGAACTTTTTATTTAAATCATACAACATACAGCGCCATCTATTGAAAATTTGCAGCATTAAAAAGATACATTCATCTTCTTTCAAACGCACCTAACTTCCTGTAAGTCGGATGACAGATGTAACAGTGACAGCCATTTCAATAAAACCAAAATTGTGCTAATGGTTAAAAAATAAAATGGAACAAAGAGCAAATATAAAATTTTGTGTCAAACTTGAAAAAAAATTAATGAAAAAAGTTTATTGTGGTTTACACGATTTAAAAATGGTCGTGAGGATTTAAATGACGACCCTAGAGCAGGACGTCCAGAAACTAGTAATCGCGATGAACTGGTGGAAAAAGTCCGTGAAATCATTGGTATCGATGGAAGTTTTACTACGAGAATGTTGGCTGAGGAATTAAATATGAGTAAAAACACTATTTGGAGAATTTTAACTGAAGATTTGGGGAAAAGAAAGATCTGTGCGCGCTTTGTTCCACATGAATTAAATGACGACCAAAAAATCGATCGAATTTTTAATGAATTTTTAATGAAAAAAGGGATTACTCTCATTGACCATCCTTCGTATTCCCTGATCTATCACCATGTGACTATTTTTTATTTCCAAAACTGAAAACCAAGATGAAGGGAGCATTTTATGATGATATCCCAGGCATTCAAGCAGCCGAAACCGAGGTACTGAAGAACATTTCTATAAATGACATAAAAAATCTATGCATGCGCTGGTTGATCGTTCCAAACGTTGTGTTGAGTCAAATGGAACCTATTTTGAATAAATAATAACTTTCAAAGATAATATAATGTGTATTTTATTTTATATGCAAAAAGTTCGGTTATTTTTGGGACACACCGTGTATACTAAATATTTAACTTATCCTAAATATATATTGGAATTCTTACTTCTTTCTACTTTCTTACTTCCCCAAATTACCTACATAATTTTCTTCTAATCGGGAATATCCAATTCTCCGCGGTTGTTGTTTTTGCGTAGAAGTCAAAGTAAGGAGTAAGTTTTCTTATAAAATATTTTTTTCTTTAGGAAACCCTAAAGGCTAAAAATTGAAGACGAGAAGATGAAAGTGAAAACATTTGTCCTTTTTCCATTAATTGTTAAAAATAGGATCTATTCTGAATTTCGGGTTATGCACAGTATTCGCTTTATTTTTATAATATATAATTTATAAAGGGTTTTCCAAATAGAGGTGACATTTGACAAATAAAAACTACAATAAATGGAGCGATAACGCTTCAGCAACGCATTAAAATTTTTAAAATTCACTATAAAAAATTCATCGAAAAATCATCTTGGCTGATGAGGCCCATTTCCACCTCAATGGCTTCGTCAATAAGCGAAACTGTCGCATCGGTGGCTCGAAACCCATCGATATTTTAAGGGAAACTTTTCTTTCACTAGCAAAATAACACCTCTTATTGGAAAGCTCGACATTTTGCGCTTAACTAGTTTTCTTCCCGAGGAGCAGATGAGGGTTAGTTTATAAGGGGTCATGTGTTCGAATACTGATCAGACCAATATCTAAAATCATTTTGAAAATATATATTAATAGGCATATATAATATTTATGTAGATAAAACCTATATAAACCAAAGATATTCGAAAACATTTTCATCAGTTCACCAATCAATTTACAATACAATCAAGTTGCTGAAAAAATACGTTTTAATGATTTTCATTCTGTTTGTTTTTTATTTATTTCAAAACGGCAATCAGCGTTAGAGAGCTTCCAGCATCAAAGTTTCTTATTGCCACATGCGTTTCACAAAATAATGAGCCCAACACCTTTGTCCTAGTTTATTACTGTAATTTCCTATATTAGGTCAAGTAAAAAGTTCGTTCGGTTTTTTTTTATTGATTTATCGAAATATGATGACTTTGTGCAGATTTGTCCGATTTAAGTCAAATATGTGCTCTTTTCGAAAACTTGTTAACAACTTCATTATACCCTTCTCGTAGAAGGCTGCGTTCCTATTGGCAAAAAACTCGGGGTGCCAATCTCCACCGCGACCGTTTGCACTCGTTGTTTTCGTAAGTAATCCATTTTTCATCGCCAGTCACAATCAGCTTCAGAAACGGGTCGATTTCGATTCGCGGATGGAAATTCGGTCCATCATGTTTTTTTGCGTTAGTTCGTGTGGCAAACAAACATCGAGCTTCTTTTTGAATCCAAGTTTATGCAAATGGCTCCAAACAGTTTTCTGGCTTATCTTTTGCTCCTCAGCAATTAAATAAGTGCTCACTTGACGATCTATTTCCACTATTTCCATGATTTTATCGCAATTTTCGACGACAGGCGTCCCGACGTGTGGTGCATCTTTGATATCGAAATTACTGGAACGGTACCTAACAAACCACTTTTGTGCTACAGGTTCGTTTACAGTATCGGACCAATAAGCTAAATTAGTTTTTTCAGTCGCTTTGGCTGCTTTTTCGCCTTGATCGAAGAATAATTGTAAAATACAGCGAATTTTCTCTTCGCTGGTGTTCATCTTTGACGAGCGCTCACAACGTACTGAGTCAATCAATCGAAAAACTGTACTATGGACATTAACGCCGAACGAACCTTTTACTTGGCCTAATATTATATACTCGTATAGTAACATTTTCCATCTCCTCTTACACGACAGTTAATCGGGTGCAGGGATATAAGGTTTTAGCTCATGGGAGTATCGGCACCAACAGATATTAACTTCAGCAACTGAGTCTCCCAAGATACCTAGCACTCAGAACTTGCAGGAACGAATGCGTTAGCATCTATCTATCTTAAGTAGAATTGGGTGGAAGTGGTGCACGCCTCATAAAATGTGCGTTGACATTTCATCACATTGGTTATGTCCATACTTTCTAATGGTGTAATGAGCCAGTGACCGCTGAAGAAAAAAATGAAGCACCTCTAACTTCCATAGACCGCCGGTGCAGCTGGGGATCTACTCTCCACTGACATCATAGGGTTTCATAATGCCGCTTGTGCTGCGACAAGACTACAAAAATGTCTGAATGGAAACTGATAAGCCACGGTCATTAAAATTTGAAGAAGCCTACGTTTACCAGAAACGTAAGGCTACTGCGTAACCTTCACGGAAGATTATAATGTAAATATTCCAGATAAAAACCAATTAGATTGGTTAATGCCAACACATACAGAATCGTTTCATTTTTATACGGATGAGTCAAGACTGGATAAAAGCATAGGGGGAGGAGCCTTCACACCGGGTAGCTTTGTCCTTTCATCAACCGGGTCACTGTAGGTGGTGCCCACAATTGAGGCTGTCAATTATCAAGGCAAGGTAAAGAATTTCCGTAGATCACTTCATCACGTAATCTCGAAACCTAGTGTGGTTGTACGGGTATCTAGACAAAGTAACATACTGGGCCATAAGATGGCGGACCGAGGAAAAGTAGGGCCACATCATTTTTCTTTTCCACTTCGTATTTATCACAGATGCCAACTTAATATCGGAACGTCTCAATGGTTGCACTGTAACCAAGATATTGTGACCAACAAATGAAAATAAGAGACCACGGGGCTTATCTCGCTAAAAGGAAATTAATACAATTGTGAATCTTTCTACTAGGCAAACACACAGAGGGATTGAAAGTAGCATCAATCGACTTCTGTTCTAGAGAGAAGGAAAATTATTAACTTATTTTAAAACACTTCCTTCGCGATTGCCCTGCTTTGAAGGGGATGGCAACTCATAGGGCTTGAGCGAAATAGCGCGTAATTTTGCACCTCGGTTGCTCAGTTTTGCCAACACCACACAGTGGTTTAATTAGCGGTTGTTTAGTTCTACACTGGTATCACAACAGGCTCGTTTTCTTGCTTAAGTGAGCTGATACCGAGCAACCTCTTCAATTGGATAACCATGAATTAAGTTGCAGCCCAACAACGCTTTTATTATCAAAATTCATGCTCAGTTGAGAAGGTGCAAACCGCACTTCTTTCATTTTATGGACCTCGATTCCGTATGTAAAATGTGCGCAGAGGGAAATAATCCAGTTGTACCGCCAGCGACTGTGAACTGTAGATGCCGTGCCGTTCGCAGCTTTGGGCATCCGTTAATCCACTACGTAGAAAACGTTGCGGAGAGATTTGGGTATAAAGCCTTTTAAAATACCGTTGGTGCAAAAATTGATACCGCAAGNCACACATCAGCTGAATGCGATCCAATACGATTCCACATGTAGATGAGTGCTCTCTGTTTTTAAAAAATTGATGCCGCAAGACAACAACTAATTTTTGATGAATAAGCGCAAAATTGACAAACTTGGATGAAGGGAAAATTGTGCTCAGCGACGAAGCTCAATTCTGATTGGATGGAACCGTGTACTAGAAAATTTACCATTTTTAGAGTGAAGCGCAACGAAAAGCATTGCTAGATCTACCAGTGCTTTCCGAGAAAGCCGCTGAACGCTACAGTGAATGACGAGCGATGAGACATGTGGTTTCAACAAGACGGTGGCACATGCCACACGGTACGCGAAACAATGGTCCAATGAGAAGTTTATTTCACATGTGGGGTCGATTAACTCGCATGATTTAATGTTTCTACATAAATTATTTTTTACGGTAAGTCTCATGTTTATAATGACAAATTCGCATTTGACGCTCTGTAGGCCAATTTTGTAGAATTTATTCGTGAGTGACTCTAATTAAAATATGGGTTTTGCGCTAAAAGGTTTTATTTTGATATTCAAAAAAACCTTTCTCCAAAAAATCTATGGTTTCATTGCTTGTGTGGCACCGAGTGCCATCTTGTCGAAAGTAAAAAATCATGAATCATCTCTCAACAGCGGAATCCCTTCATTTTCGAAAGAGTAAGGTCAAATAAACCCACAATTTTTCGAAAATGTCAAAAAATAACAGCTTCTAAAGTGACATCTACCGGAATAGGTTATTCAAAGCAACTCCTCGGCGGCCGCGATAGCCGAGTGGTTAGCATTACATACCGCCATTATGAAGACCAGTAGTCGAGTACTGGTCCGACCCATGTTCAAAATTATAGAAACTTTATTTCAATAAAAAATTAACTTAATTTTTTTAATTGCGGTCGGCTCTCGCCAGGGAATGTCCACCTCTCCGAGTGTGTTTCTGACATGAAATGAAAAGCTGCTCATAAAAAAACTGTCAGCCGTTCGGAAGGGGCTTAGTATAAACTTTAAGTCCNTTCGCGTGCTTTATTATAGCGAAGATCTCAAACAGATCTATTATTAATCCGATTAACTACGACCGAAATTAACAACATTCTTTAATTTTACTTTCTAATGGTTGCTGCATGTATGTATTGTACATAATATAGTTTCTAAGCATGAGCATGTATATGTACATATGTATGTATGTACATAATAGCCTACATATAAACTAAATACTTCGGTGTTGCTGCTAAATCAGCTGCCAATTTGGCTGTTGTTTAAAATCATTTCCGTTACTCATTGATGCCGTTGTTGTTCATAATAATTATTTGTTGTTGTTTCTTTGTTATTTTCGTTGTTTTTTTCGTTCTTGTTCTTATTTGATTGTTGTTTTTATTATTTTCGCGATAGCTGCTGTCGAAACTACGTTTTTCATTCACAAAGCACCAATTTCGAAATTGCGTAACAGTGTTTTTTTTTTTTTCAGTGTACGTTTTCCATAAAAAACGATGTGTGTGCATATGTGCATATGTACTATAAAGAAAGTCGCACGCATGGCATATATATATTTACATAAATACACAGATAGTTGAGTACTTGTTGTAGGGAATTTTCAAAATTCCATACAAAAACTTTAGCACTGTTTTTTTTTTTAAATGTTGCACAAACGCACAAACTTTCAAACGCGAATATACATATGTACGTATATCTACATTTATAATGTGTACTCGTAAAGAATTAATAATTTTTATATTTAATTTTTTTTATTTTTAATTTTTTTATTTTTAATTTTTTTATTTTTTATTTTTAATCTTTTATTTTTAATTTTTAATTTTTAATTTTTTATTTTTAATTTTTTTATTTTTAATTTTTAATTTTTAATTTTTTATTTTTAATTTTTTTATTTTTTATTTTTAATTTTTAATTTTTAATTTTTTTATTTTTAATTTTTTTATAATTAATATCTATTTGCTCTTTAGTTTCATCTTTCACGCTTCCTGCTGTTACTTAAATATATGTATGCAGTTCTATGTACATACATACATACATTTTTTGTTTAATCTTTCACATTTCATTAAATTAGTTTTCTATCGAATTTTTACTACTTTATTGAAAATTTCACATAAAAGCGCCGTTGAAAGGCAACAAAAATGTTTAGCTGTGTTTTAAAAATAGCCGCATACTTTAAAAGTTTCTGGCGGCGCACAGTGAAGTCATACACAAACACACACACAGTATATAACACAGTTGAAAATTAAAAGATATTTCAGCAGACACCATAAATTCATTGAGTTATGCACTTGAAAATAATTAACAACTTAAAAAAAAAATTAAATAAACTTTTATTTTATTCTAAATAAATATTTTAATATTTTATGTAGATAAATACCACATTAAATTCTGCTAAATTTCGCTTAAAGCTGTGTTGTTGCTTTGAAAAATCTACATATTTCTGAACACTTTTCCTGCAATTCAAAAATAACCGCATCTATTCATCTCTTTCACACTAATAGTTTGCAGTATTTGCACGCTCGTTTGGCACGATTGCTTCGAATCGACTCGAAATTTAGAAAATCGTTGCGAACTCTCGAACGTCTGTCGTAGAACTGAAAGCGAGCGTTGCGAAAAACCGCACGGAGTACTCGGAAAATTCAATAGGTCGAGGAGAGAAAAATCTGAGGATCGGAAAATCGTGAAAACCGTGCACACATCAGCTGAATGCGATCCAATACGATTCCGCATGTAGATGAGTGCTCTCTGTTTTTAAATTATTTTACTTTTGTTGGTATGAGCATGGAATTTGCAGTTGCTAGGAGGTACACGCGCCAGCAATATCGGCATGTATTAAAAATTTGTCTTTGGCCATTTGGTATGCTGTTCGATATTCACTTTTTAATTTTTTCTTTTTTTACTTTTCTTTTTTATTTTTTTTTATTTTTATTTATTTTTTTTTTAATGTTGGTTTTGTGGGTGCAGCGTCGGTTGACCAGTGGTGCGACTGCAAGCGGATTGCTATATACATACATAAGTACAACAAGTGTTTCCATAGTAGGAGGTATGAGCCACCTCCTTTTAAGCTACCTACACTAAAGTGATAAGAGGATCACCCCCATCCGAAGTGATAGGAAACTCGACCGAAGCTTGTCTAGGGCAGAAAGCTACAAGGTTATAAAACCACTTTACGCTTGCAAAACGTTGATAGTAAAAACGGAAAACCGAGATTTATGTACGGGACTTATATAGCGGTAGTTAAGAGTAATCCCCCTGCGGGTTAGGGGCTCAAGAATTTACTCGCGGTAAGGCATGCCTGTCGTAAGAGGCGACTAAAATCCAACAGTTCCCGCGACAGTCGGGTCTTTATACCGTAACGACCCGGATTTTTATCCAGCCAAGGACTGTCACTCCCGCAACATTCCCCAAAAAGTACTTTGGGGAATAATTTTGCGGTTACAACAACAACAACAACAGTAACCCAAACATACGGCCTTACACTGTCATCGACTGCCTCAAAAGCATTGCTAACTCTCCACTCTTTCTTCCTTTAAGCTTGCTTCGTCATTACCTTTTGCACAAGAATCCCAATAGGGAAGGAATGGAAAAGCACAAACGCCCTCGTTCAGGACGCCATAGCCATAACGGATGCTCTCAATCTCAATGAGCAAGAGACACTATACCACTGCAGCGTCTACTAAGCAAAGCTCAAATCAACGGTAACAAGACAATTAGTTACAATATATTCCGAAAGTCAAGCTGTCATCAGATCTCTACGGTGAAACAATGCAACAACAAAAGTGGCTAAGAATTGTAAAAGCAATTTGAAAAAACTGGCGATTGATTGCAACATTTTATCGGTTCTCTATTACCGTGACAAGTATAAAAACAGATCAGTGTTTAATTAGGCTTCTCGGGGAAAATTTTTTTTCCGCAATTGCAGAGGCGGAGTAGAGGAAGAGTCTCCCTTCCGGCGAATAGCGTTCTCGGAGAAATACCACCACCTATAGCAGACAACGATCTCGAGCTGCTTTGAGAGACCCGCGTGACCCTGACACAACTCATGTCTGGATATTGTAGCACGTTAAACTCCTACTTATCCAGACTAGACCCCAGCATACCCAACGTATGCCCTGCATGTGGAAAGTATCCACACGACACTAACCACCTCTTCACATACCCTCTCAAACCAACTCAACTAACCCCCCTCTCTCTTTGGTCCAACCCCGTCGGAACAGCTTGTTTGTTGGACCTACCATTAGATGACCTCGGCAACTTAGACTGATAAAACCTGTGCCTAAGCGGGGTTAGTGAACCGCTACAACAACAACAACAAGGAAGAGTCTACTGAACTCAGGAGCCTCTTAGCGGTGTACCAACGGGCCTTTTGGCCTAATTGTATTGGTCCCGGAGCGACAACTGCATCAATTAAACTCAATTCACATGTGTTTTGAAATTATACCTACTCCCGTAACCAGTTTTTATGCAGAGCTTGAGAGCCATGGAGAATGCAACTTCGACAAAAAGGTTAATGCTACGCTCAGATAATAACTTCCAATTTTGTTGGTGTTCACTGCAAACTTTTCAGGGGTCACTATTTGAAGGCATTCAGCTGGAAATCCTGTAGGGGACGAAAGAAGTTTATCGGTTTTTACCGAAGCGAAAGAAAGCACGTGGACGTTCAAGACTGCCTTGTATCCTCGTTGATATGGTCATTTGTGATTCCAGATTTCGGCATAGGAAAATTTATTAAGATTTGCAAATAGGAAACTGGGAAGACTCGACGTTGAAAGTTTGCATTCCCAACACACAGCCAAACTCACTTAGAAACTGAAAAACCAAATTCAATGGCCGATGACCAAAGCTTTCTGAGATTATGGATGGAGCCACTCTCCAGTAGGCTATTGTGAACCCAATATATCGCCTGTCCCCACAGTCTCGACTCAGGCCCTTGTTGACAGCCATAACTTTGAAAAAGTAGTTAATTTCGTCAATCCTGAAACCAAGCCTGGAAATCCAACTCAGGATCACACTTGCCAACAGGTGCTACTTTGGACACAGTAAGCAAGACGAACAATTAACTTCTCTCTGAGAACTCTGCTCTTGTCGGAGGAAGTTTTTAGCGCTAATTCTTTTTTTTAACATAAAAATATTTTTTTTATCTGTTTCACATTTAAGCCATTTCACCGAAAAGCAACTTATTTGCGCTAAAACACACAACACCTCGTCGGATGAAACAGGGGAAGATAACCACCTCAACTACGTCGAGCAGCGCATCGATTGCACTTCTTGGACAGCGGTGATGTCAGCTTTAATTTTACAAGGGCATTAAGCAGCTGGGTATTGACACCCAATTAAAGGACCCAACATTTCAGGGGTTTGACTTTAAATCGCGATCTTTGAAACGTTTGCAGTAGTCATTATCAAAAGGCATATCGTGCTTTTTCTGTGGAGTAGATTTAAAGGTGGTAGGTCCTAGACCCTACGATGAGCAAGAAGCGAGACCCATGTAACAATAGCACAACAACAACTAAAGCTTTTTCCAGTCGCAATCCAAGTCCAATCTACTTTAGTACACGAAGAAAAGATCATAAATGATAAATATTGTACATATTAATTTATTTACGTTTTAAATATATGTATGTATATTTATTTATATATGTATGAATAAAGATGGTCTTCACATCCATCGAACTGATAGATGAGAGACCTACATGTGTTGTTCATCTTGGTTTTGTTAGATTAGTAACAGCTTCATGCGCTAAATACAATTTTCTTTGCGTTGTAGTAATGATCATTAAATAAGTTAGTGGTAGTGAATGCTTATATTTATAATTTCATATTTCAAAAAATAAATTTTAGAATTATCGGCATTATGTGAACAGAAGAGAACGTAAAATAAAGTATAATAATTGTTCATGCCAAAGAAACAAATCCAGGCGATATTGTTTGATTCGCCCATAAGATCCCCCACCCTATCATGTTGCAGCTTTTGGTACTTCAATTGGTCCGGTTGTATTTGCTATAGCCGACGCGACACTTGTAGTACTTATGCTCCCCGTAAGCACCGTTGAAGTCACTGTCGTCGAAGCAGAAGCGACAACTTCTGTAGCACTAGTGTTCCCTGTGTTACCGACTGTAGTTGTGCTTAATGTATCGGTATGATTTATCGGTGGCAAAAATGAAACCGTCACCGAATCAACATCTGGCGAAGGTCCATTATTGTTTTCGCTGACATTTTGAGACATTGTTGCCATACTGGCAATATGATCGGCAGTGTTTGTATTAGTGCTTGTAGCAGTGCTATTAATTGTTACAGCTGCATTAGGTTGCAGTAAAATCTGCGAGTTATTGTTGAAATTCTCTACAGATCCACACGATAGCGATAACTCATCAGCCGAATCATCAGCACAATCAGTTTGTACACCTTTTTCTTCTAGCAAATGTTCATTGACTCGTATGGGTTGGCTAGCTGAGCCAAATTGCTTAGAAATTTGCAATAGTTCACGCAAAATCTGATTTTCCTTCCGTAGTCGAGACATTGTTTCCATATCACGATGGACAGCATCATCATCTGCTGATGCGGCGCGCTGCATTACAACAGCCATTTCCCTGATTTTTGCCCGTTGTTCTCGTATGATTAACCACAACTCTTCATTATATACTTCTTTAAAGTTTATTTTACTTTCCAGAATTTTGCTATTTGTATGTTCCCGATATTTTTGCATAATAAATTCCATGGTACGTTCATAATCTTCAATGCACATCTTCAATTCTCTATTCTCTTTCAAAATCTCTGAACTGGTAGCGTTCTGTTGTTGTATACGATTTACCATTTCGGAATTCGATTTGTTGTTGGATATTTGATTCAAAGAATCCACATCATCTTGGAATTGTCGTAAACTTTCTACTAAGCGATTATTACCTTCAGCTTCTACTAGTAAAGCATTACCCAATAGCTCCAAATCTTTCACGCGACTAGCAATACGCTGTGCGTCCATAATAATCTGCCCTACAGACATATTAGACATCTTTGGTTGATAGAGGTGTAAAACGGACAATGGTTATGGTGATGCGTTAACCGAAATATTTATTTTAGGCTTTTGATATACCCGCAACCAATTTGATTCTCAGCACTGCCCTTTCACGTACTTTTTCGACAATACTGCTCAGCCTATGCTGTTGAAGCTGCCTGCGCTTCCGTTATATTAGCTTTTACTAGTTTTTTTTTATATATTTTATTATATATTTTCATTAGCAAACGAAGTTTCCAAATATGCAGTTTATAAATATATTTTGGAATTTTCCACCTTTTGTTATTAATTTGTGATCTTGCGATAACTTTATAAAAAAAAATCACTCAACAAAAAATGTAAAATCGTTCACTGACATATGACAATTCGCCCTAGTTTGGAGCCCATCAAAAATGACAGCACTAACATTGCCAGATTAGAAACGTGATTAAAACTAATACGTTAACCTAACATTTAAATTAAACATTCATTGAATTATTCTTTAACTTAACATCTACAACAAATTATTTTTTGCTATCAGATAACTAAATATATAATACATAAAATTATGAAAAACGAAGTCAGCATCGAAAATCACTTTCATTGTACTAGGTGTTGTTAAGCAATTCAAAAGAAAATACAATGTAATTGGCTCTGAGTTCCGTCCCTTAGCCAGTTTTGTTATACGAATATTTACTCACTTTCGTTCTCCCACTTTTTAATACAAAAATTAACTTATTAGGAATATCAGAAAACAATAAATATGATTAAAAAAAGACAAAAAAAAATTAAAATGTGTAACATTTGTTACTACATCTACCTGGGATGTTGGAAAAATAAGATTATAATCTTTGGATGATTTGTTCTTCAATCCTTCACATTTACAGTAGAAAAAAAGGGAAAAGATCGAACGTTCATGCATCTAAGCATCGTTCCCGCCACGCCACTACTTAGCCGAATTGCAAGGTTTTAAAACTGTCTATTATTAATCTGTATTTATTTTATTTCTTCTGAAGAATTGAAGTTATTATATCAAGTTCCCTTAGTTTTCACTTAATTTTTTTATATTTTTGGAAAAGGTTTTTTGTGGTAGCGTTGATGATTTTCGTCTTCCTTGAATTTTCACGCAAAGAAAAAAGGTTTCTTTGTCAACGACTTGAGTTTTCAAATAACAAACAAAACTCATATACGTTTCCTAATAAATGCAAGTAGAAAAAGCACAAAATAATTAGCTTGGCATTCATGTTCCATGGATGTCGATATAGGTGGAAATTGCCAACAGTGATTTGCGGAGGGAAGTTCTTGTGATTTAGTAAGAATATAGTAAGTAATTAGTCTAAGTTGAATGAAAACTACACCTTTTTCCCATTGAACACCAATTGACGCCCGTCAGCAAAGCAAACACATTGTTCCCATCTAAAAGCGTTAAAATTTTTAAAATATTCTAATTCCCACGTGGTAAAAGTAGCCGATTTTAGATAATATAAGGGTGCTTCTTCTTTAATATACATTTTCATATTTGCTTAAATTTTTATTACAATTCTTTAAACAATTTATTTTAAATGTCAGTTCAATCGTAGTCAAAAAGAACTACATTAAATGACAAATCTATATTATTTGATAACCAAATAAATGTTTTTTGTGCAAATACAATATGACTGCCAATAACTTTTAAACAATATATTTGCGAGCGATAAAATTAAATACTTGGGTGTTGTTGTTGTTGTAACCGCAAACTATTCCCCGAGCGGCAGTCCTTGGCCGGATAAAAATCCGGGTCGTTCCGGCATAGAGACCCGACTGTCGCGGGAACTATTGGATTTTAGTCGCCTCTTACGACAGACATGCCCTACCACGGGTTAATTCTTGAGCCCTTAACCTGCAGGGGCTTGTGATTGGGCCTGCTTTCGGCCATAATAATTTCATCCAAATCCACGAGCTGATTCAAAGCTCTCGTAACTTTCGTTTAATCATCTAATATTAATGGCAAATTATGAACATTACTTTATACAGCTGATAATGGGGAGTTTTGTACCTTTTATAGCAGCTCTGTATGAGGAATGATTTGTTTAGAATCAAATGCCAAAACATAATGTAGACAAAAACAAAAGTTGTTGCTGTACTGCAAGGGGAACGACAAGAATAAAAAATCTCTCTTTTTTCTTATTCTAATGGTGTGTTTGTGATTGTCAAAGCTCAAATTATTGTCAAAGGGGAAGAAGAATAGTCGTAAAATGAATAACCAGAAAGGATTTCATTTCTGAATTGCATTTGCGTAGAACATTCGACTGATTAAATGCGTAAAAGCAAAAATTTAATTGTGATATTTGTTGTGAAATATTGGAAATTTGCTTAAAATTGTATAGAAAAGAAATTATTGTGAAATATAATTACATAAAATCTTGCAATAGAGGCTAGGTGTGGGAGGCGAAATCAAGAAATTCGTCAACTCATAGCCAAAACCTCTAGTAGTTGAAAATAAAAAATCGATTATTGCCCATGGCGTATAACAGTCAGTGTGAGCATAATCCTGGGATAGGAAGAAAAATGAAAAGTGTGTGCAACCATAAGTGGTATGAAGGTGCAACAGCACCGCTTCAATTGAAAAAATATACACAACGAAATAATTGTATAGAAAAGACCTACACATTAGGCAATAATAGCAGCAGAAGTAACTGTGCGGGTGACGGTATCAATTTATTTGGTATTGGCCGCATCTCACAAACAACATGTACAACGTTTCTAATACTAGCAGCACTAATACATACCGCCAATGCGACGGCAACGGATATAGCGCTGGACGCGAAGGCGACATTAACACATAGAATTGATAGTCTTAATCTGTTAGTATATACCTTTTTGCTGACACTAACTGTACTGACAATTTGGCTGTTCAAGCATCATCGTGTATCCTGGTTACACGAAACTGGTCTTGCTGTTATTTATGGTAAGTATAAATGAAGCCATATGTTAGCCAAACTCTTTCAGTGATCTGAGTGGCTACATACTAAGAAAAATTTATTAAAAAAATGAATTAATGAAATATTATTACGATGATAATATTTTATTAGTATATATTGCGCCCTACCTTGTAGTTACATAGAAATATATATATATGTGTAAAAGAAGCAAAAATTATAAAAAGGTAATCAAAACTGTGCAAATAATATTATTAAATCACTTCTAAGCAGTGAATAAGATTCACACATAAAGAAATGCAAATAAATATGTGTGTATGAATATGTTATTTGTGCTTACAAAGCACAAAGCACAATGGAAAGTGCGAATATAATCACTAATTCGCTGCGTGACGTTGATAACATGATTAAAGTTACCTTCAATTAGCGCATAGACATACCATTTGTTATAATTTCATATACATAAATTGTCGGTTTTGGTTTTATTACTGAAGTAACGTTCTTACTAATAACGTGAGATTTTAGATTATATACCTGTCTTTTTGTAATCTTATTAATGCCATATTTATGCGCTGCATGTTGTCTATTGATAAATCAATAAATATTTTTTTTTTTTATCATATCATTGTTTTTTAAGAAAGAATAGATAATCAAGTTCTTAGAATAAGTGTATTTATTATTTATGTTAAACAAATGTAAAGCTGTAATGTGTCAATAAAGCTTAGTATAAGCAATTGCATTTCATTTAAATTCTTCTATGAAATTATTTCTTTATTACTTCTGTCTTAGTGCTTTTCTTAATAAAACTAATACTAAAGGCTTTAAATTATTCATAAATCACAAATTTTACCTGTAATTGATAATAATAGAAAATTAATTATTTTACGGTGTTTGAGTGTGTGAATGCTTAAGGCTAGTTATCAGCAATAATATTTAATTTAATATATTCATTTATATATTTTATTTCATGCAAAAGAACTCTAAATGATTGGGCTTTTAATTAAAGAATCCTAAATAATCGCGATTCATACGAAAACATCTGTGCAATCATTAGTATATTTACATATAAATGCATTTCTCCGGATTTCAATAACGTCTGTTTAAATATTTAATTCCCTTTGTAAGTGAAATGAGCTTATGCATATAACACTATGCAACAAATTATACGCCTTGGATTGTGTTAAATCAATTTGTATAAAAAAAAGATTAAAGCGCTTGTTGTATTTAATATAACTGTTCAAGTTATGAAGTACAATACATTAGAATGAACTACACATATATATATTTGTAGCTTTGCATTGATATTAAATTTCCGGTTCTTCTCGTGTTGACTGTGATTGCAAACAAAAAGTTGTTATTTACGTTTCTACAGTAACGCTTGTTGTTATTTGGAAAAATTATAATTATAGAATCATTAAAATTAGTTATTTACACGATGTAACAGACAAAATACATGCAATGGCATTCAAATTTAACTTAGTGTCAGCAGTCAATAATACATACATACATGTACATAAAAACACATACGAATTCCCATATGCACACACTATTTTTATTTATTTTTATACATTTGTTTATTTCATAATGACTAACGTGTGTATTGCGCTTTAACCCAAGTCTTATTCATATATTAACATACATACATATATACGTAATTTCAACAGCAATGTGCATTGTTGTTTGCACAAAAAATTTAAATTATTATCACGGAATTAGTCACAGCACAATGAAAATTCTTTACATAGTATTATTGTGTTATGCTATGCGAAATACTATGCGCATATATGTATTAATTTAAATATTGTGCAAATGTTATCAAACGCAATACAGTGGGGTTGGCCGAAGAGAAGGACAACTGTCTGGAAATAACTAATTTTAGAAATCTATAATAAAAACCTTTATAACTCTCCATTATATTTTCATGTGGAATTTACATAAAAGATTAAAAACAAAAACCAACCATCTATAAAATATTGCCACACCCACTGGAGAAAATGCTAAAAATAAAATAATAAAAATTTAGAATAAATTTTGAATTTTTTATTAGTTCTCCTAAGCCGTCCAACTCTGTTGCACTCCATAATAGACTAATTTCTTACTTAATATTATATAATATTTTATACTGAGCTCGCAGATATACATACTTATAAATAGTTTTCATATATATGTATATATTATGTATATATCGTATGCACATTTTTTTTAATTTCCGCATATTAACAACTTAAAATAAATTTTTTTCGCATTACATAACTCTCAGTTTGCATATATTTTCTATTTAAAGTACTAATTTTTTTTCCATTTACTTGCAGGACTGATTGTTGGCGCCGTTATACGTTATGCCGGCACCTCAACACCACTTGTGCACTTGGAAGTTGATCCAGTTGGTGATACAAAGTTCAATCAATCTCTACCACCAGATACATTATGGATGAAGGTATACCTGTATAAATATTACAAACTATATATGCATATTTGTAATATTTTCTTGTAATGATTTTCAGTTCCCTGGTAAATTGACGCCAAATACCACCGATAAAGATCCAATACAAAATAAAACGTATGCATATGCGTTTCGTGGTATAGTATACGATGTGGAAGAGAATGAAATCGATTTGAAGGCAACTTTTGATCCGGAAATCTTTTTCAATATAATACTACCGCCAATAATATTTCATGCCGGTTATAGCCTTAAAAAAGTAATGAAATTTATAAACTTTTATATGTATATTTTTTAATTATTAATTATTAATTTTTCTTCCATATTTTAGAAATACTTTTTTCGTAATTTGGGCGCAATTTTGATGTTCGCCATATTGGGCACGACCTTATCATCGTTCCTAATCGGCGCTATTATGTACGGCTGTGTGAAACTAATGCCTGAATACTTGAGTAGTAGTTTCACATTCCTGGACACGCTGTATTTTGGAGCCTTGATATCACCAACAGATCCACTAACAATATTAGCTATATTTCATGATTTACATGTCGATGTAAATTTATATGCGCTGGTTTTTGGTGAATCTGTACTTAATGATGCCGTAGCTATAGTGCTCAGCGGGTAATTTAAATGTTATATTCCTTCAATTTATTTTAATAACTTATAACTAATAAAAATATATATCTTTTTTTTAGCGCTATACAAAATTATGGCGAGCATTATTCCAGCACTGGCGGCTTCGAGACAAATGCCTTCTTCAAATCTTTGAGCGATTTCTTTTGTATATTTATGCTATCATTATTGATTGGCGCCTCCATGGGCTGCTTTACGGCATTGATATCCTTTTTCAACAAAAATGCTAACAAAGATATTTTTTTTTTTATTACAGCATACATTTTTTTACACCAATTTTTTTTACTAGTATAAAATGTATTAATTTTTTACTATTTTTTTAATGCTATATATATTTATATAGCACAAGCTTTTTTAAAATTTTTTTCTTAACTATAATTTTTTTATAACCATAATTTTTTATACTATAATATGTATTTTATTTATATAATTTTTTTACAACTATTTTTTTTTAAACTAAAGTTTTTATTTTATTTATATAATTTTATTTCTTAATATGAAATTTTCCTTAACTGCCCTGCACTTGACCAAGTTCACACGCGTACGTGAGTTTCCACTACTCGAGTCGGCGCTCTTTGTACTCATGTCTTATAGCACTTTCCTTATTGCTGAGGCATCCGAACTGACTGGCGTTGTGGCTGTGTTATTTTGTGGTATTTGTCAAGCACATTATACGTATAATAATTTATCGGAGGATTCGCGCACGCGCACAAAAGAGATATTCGAACTATTGAATTTCTTAGCAGAAAATTTCATCTTTTCATATATTGGCGTCTCTATGTTCACCTTCCCGAAACATCATTTTGATGCAGTTTTCATAATAACCGGCTTTGTAAGTAGAAATGCATAAATAAATATTTAATATGATAATGTAAATTCTTTATATAAAATCTTAAGGTAACCGCTGCAATTGGACGCGCAGTTAATATTTACCCACTATCTTGGTTATTGAATTTGAATCGTAAACCGAAAATATCATCAAACTTTCAACACATGCTATTCTTTGCTGGTATGTTAATTTCAAGATCTTTAAATGTCCTTTGTATACATATATATTTTATTGTTTTAGGATTACGCGGTGCCATGTCCTTCGCATTGGCCATACGCAATACAGCCTCCGAGGCACGTCAAACAATGTTGACGGCAACCTCGTTAATTGTGATTTTTACAGTCGTCATACAAGGTGGCGCATCCAATTTTTTGCTAAATTGGCTTAAAATACCGTAAGTGTGATTGGACATTTTCAATTTTATGTACATTTATTTTCATCTTACTCTTTTTTCTTTAGTGTTGGTGTTGATGAAGAGACTGAACAGTTAAATAATTACCGTGTACGCAGTGTGAGTATTACGTATCCTTTGTACATTTTTGCTTAAGTTGTTTTGTTTTGATAATTGGTTTTGGTTTTCGTTTCAAATAATTTTCTAGCCTATTTGATTGTGTGTAAATGAATTGCAGCTGTTTGCTTTAATGCGACTGTAAATTTGTATATTTTTTTTTATTAATAATTTATAGCATCACTTGATATAACGGCCAATGCAGGCGATAAGAATTTACAAATCGATGAAATCGTTTAAATTCGTTTTAAATTAAAATTAATGATGCACATTCAAAAACGTTAAAGCGTGTGCATAAAAAAATTTCCATCAAATTTGCAGCATGTGCATTTAAAAAATTCTATTAGTTACAAATTTAAAATTCATACATACTTAAGAGTACATGACATATGAAATATGTTGAAAGTAGCACAATTTGTCAATATGTATGAAGTCATGCTACATCAATATTTCATTCATGAATCTTAAGTATTATTTTTTTTTTTTACTTTAAGCGCACTGTTATTTTTAACAATACTAAAACATGTTTTATATGTATTGTATGTATGTTATTCTCTTAACATTACAATTTATGAATCAATTAATTTCCCTTATATTGCAATTTCAATTCTCATATATTTTCTATCGCCTACTTTAACTACCGCATCATCCCACACATCCAATTAACTGCAATTAAACCATGCCAAAAATACACGAAATCGCATATGCCATAAAGGTTTATAATTCAATGGAAAATACGGCGGCTGCGGTATGTCCACTAATCATACATTAGAGCTTCATATTAATAAAATTCACACGATTATATTTTTTTGATTGCTTTCTATAATATCCTTTCGTTACAACTCACACACAATAAAAAAAAACTTATTTTTTTTTTCATTTTTTTCCGCATGTTTTATTTGAAGACTTGCTAAATATATTAAATTTCTAATAATACAGTAATTTTTTAATACGTTTTTATTATTTTTTTTTTTTTTTAACAAGCTCAAACATATATTTTAGATGCAAACAAACAAGTCTTCTACTTTCATATTCAGACATAATATAATATACTAAATAAGACTGGGCGAAATATTGGATTGCACTTAAATTAGTTTAGAAAAATCAAATTGATAGAGTATATCTCTACCAACCCACGCTTACAAATTAGTTTTATTTAAATTTTAATTGATTATTACCTCGTAGTTATTCTATAAATTTAAAAAACATAAAGAATTCGATTTCTGAAAAAAGAGCTAAGTCATTTATTACCTTTTATATATGTAGCTAATCATAGCTGGCGGTCGTAATACTACCATTCTGCAGGTCAGGGTTAGAGTCCTGGTTCGACCAACATTCAAAATTAGAGATAACAAATATTTCTTATTGCGGTCGTCCCTCGGCAGGAAACGTCAAGCTCTTTGAGTGTATTTCTGACGTAATATAGAAGGTCCCCATAAACAATCATCGGTCTTTTGGAGGCGCTTTAGAATTAACTGTAGATCCCTCTATTTGTTGGAAAATATCAAGCGCAAATTATATACATATACAGATTATACAATCATGGCTAACAGGCGATTGTTTTTAATAAATATTTTTCAACATTTTGTATAACTTTTTGGTCTTAGACTTAGTCCCACGTCTGCTTTAACAGCATTTATTATATATTTTGGAAAAAGTATATGTATATTTTCGGACGACTGACACCGCCTTTTCAAGTCTTTTAGACTAGTTATATTACCTAAAATAACAGGCTCCAGACTTATAGCATGGGATTTTAATTTAATTTAGTTCATAGTCATAAGAGAACAAAATTGAACTATTTTTGTTGCATGGAAAGTGATGCCTGTTTTTTTTTTTTGTTTTTTTTTTTATCACTTATGTCTTTTTTCTTAGGCAGTTTTTCTTTTTGATTTCCATGTCTGAAAACAATATCCCATTTTACATAAGTGATGTGGCGGGAACCTTCAAATCATCAAGATGATTTTTAAATTTCTGCGGTTGATATAAACGGAGTTAATAAAAGGAAACTGTCGTAATGTATGTATGTTGTACCTCAACTTGTCATCTGTTACTCGAACAATCAAGTACTCCAGGGTCAGTTACTTTTCTTCGAAAAACTAGCTCTGTAATCAGGAAGACTTCAGTGTATTAATCAGAGACTTTGGCCTCTTTTAAAAACGAAAATCAGAGATTTTAGCTCCTCGATTAAAGCAAAGAGATCTTTTAACATTACAAAAAAGAAATTTTCCTGTGTATGGCGTTATCGAAGTTAAACCACCACCTATTGTAGACGAAGAACCCGAGCTGTCTCGAGATTCCCACGTAATACTGGCCCAACTTAAGTCTGGCATTGTAGTAGATTAAATTCCTACCTATCCAGATCCGACTCCGACAAACTTAGCTTTTGCACTGAGTTTCCACACTTCAATAACCAACTCTTTGCATTTCCTTCTGGTCCGAATCCGTCAAAACAGCTGGACCTTCCGTTAGTTGACCTCGAGGGCTTAAACTAAACACAGCAAAAGTTTGTGCGACAACAGAGCTAAGCCTGAACACTGGGCTAGAGAATATTGGTCTCAGAGGCAATCTATTGCTCCAGGAAAAGTGAATGTTATTGCATAATACCGCAACCTTAACCTATTAAACTAGAGCATATGAAAAAATTTCTCAAAGCTCTGGTCAAGGATGGTGGTTTCCCTAATTTGTTGTTTTTCGTAGGTCCACAAAAAAAATAGATAATAGTTCATGACTGGTATTGAAAAAAAATATGCCGCGAATGAATTAGTTTGGATTTCAGCAAATTTTCTGTGAAACAAAAATGATTACAGCTATGCCGAGCATATGTGCTTGGTTGTGTAATGAGCATGAAGATACATCATCCCACACTACAACTCTAAGACTTCTTTCTGTGGACTATTACCAGAGGCGCCAGTGCGCATACTGTTTGAATGTGAAGCTATTGCTAGAGGAAGACTGAAACATCTAGGGATCTCTCAGCCGGAGCAAAATTACATTAAAACAATCAATCCTTCCTTCTAACCTGCTGTGATATATAAGGACTTTATTATTAATTTAAATATATATAAATAGGAGCTTTGTAACCGCTGAAGCGATTTCGCAACAAATGGCGGGACCTACAGTTTATAATAAGCCGGCTCTCAACGGCTGATGGTTTTTTTTACGAGGAGTCCTTATTTCATGTCCGAAATACATTTGAAGGGGAAGACATGCCCTGTCGGAAGGCCTGTTGTCGAAAATTGCAATAAAATCATGGAAACAGTGGAAACAGACCCTCACGTGAGCACTTATTTAATTGCTGAGGAACTAAAGATAAGCCAGAAAACCGTTTGGAACCATTTGTATNTTGGAATCATTTGCATAACCTTGGATTCAAAAAGAAGCTCGATGTTTGGGTGCCACACGAACTAACGCAAAAAACCATGATGGACCGAATTTCCATCTGCGAATTGCTGCTGAAATGCAACAAAATCGACACGTTTCTGAAGCGGATTGTGACTGGCGATGAAAACCGGGTCACTTACGACAACATCGAGCGCAAACGGTCGTGGTCAAAGCTCGGGTAAGCGGCCCAAACGGTGGCCAAGAGGGGATTGACGGCAAGGAAGGCTTTGCTGTGTGTTTGGTGGGATTGGCAAGCAATCATCTAGCACGAGCTACTCTCCTATGGCCAAACGTTCACTTCGGCCCTCTACTGCCAACAAATGGACCGCTTGAAGGCAACACTCATCCAACAGAGGCCGAATTGTGTTCCATCTGGACAACGCCAGGCCACACACGTCTTAGGTGACGCGCCAGAAGCTCCAGGAGCTCGGTTGGGAGATCCTAATGCACCCAACTTATAGTCCGGACCTGGCACCAAGTGATTACCATCTTTTCCTGTCCTTGGCGAACGCGCTTTATGGTGAGAAGTTGGCCTCAAGAGAGGCCTGTGAAAATTTGCTCTCCGAGTTTTTTTGCCAATAGGGGCGCAGCCTTCTATGAGAGGGGTATAATGAGGTTGGCATCTCGTTGGCAACAAGTTTACGAACAAAACGGCAAATGATGAACGATTTTTTTACTTTACCTATATAATTCATAATATCTCATGCAACAAAAATGCTATCCTCTTGTGTAGTGTATGTGATATCTTAATGTAATCACAGATAAATTGAAAATATTTTCAATTGCCTGTTTGTCATTCAGCTTGTCGTTTGGCTACTGATACCACTTTCATTACTTACTTTTTTATCCACACATGTTTTCTAACTAGTTGTCTGTCTAGTCCAACCAGTGACTTAATAGGGGTTAAGATAGATTTTTTGGAATAATTTTTGCTAAGTATAAAATACATACATTTCGTATTAAACATTTGCATGACAGCATGTGGTTTTAGGTTTTAGTAGTCTTTCGATTTCCAATTAACAAACAAAAAACTTATTAATTGGCTTAGTAATTAGTAATACAAATTAAAAACACTAAAAAAAAAATTCCATAACATCGCTCGGTTTCTAAAGATTTATCAGTAATATAATCTACATAGTTAGAAAAATTGTAAATTTTTGTGTTTTCATGTACGATACATGCAGTCAATCGATACCGGACTCAATTTGGGCCAGCTGCCTATGTCGCGCCGGCGTAGCTCGTTGGTAAGAAAACGTGTCCGTAACGCGTTATGAGGCACCATACATACAAAATTCGTTATACATGTTTGTTTAGTAATGCAAAGCAGTGAAATCAAATAAAAAAAAACCTTTTGTTTTATTAAATAAATTAATTAATTTTTATTTTTTATTTTTTTTTTTTTCGAAAACCATCTTAAAGCTGCATTAACCACATGAATGTATTTTACACAATTTTGATACGATTTTTAATGCCTTCGCTTTTTCAATTTTATTATATTTTATTTATTATAACTTCATTATTTGCTTAGCTTTCCGCCGTTGCGTACAAAAATATTTCACTTTCTACACACTTCTCTATTTCTATGTGTATGTTTGCACCTAATTTTTCCCCCTTTTTTATTTTATTTTTACCTATTATAAATATTATTATATTTATGCGTTGTTGTTGTTGTGAAAGAATTTACTAGAGATTTAAAAATTAGTCTGATGCATATTTGCAGGATGTCGATGTGGACGTGGAGGGCGCTGGTGGGCTTGCTGAAGCTGGTGCCCCGGGCGCAATGAATGTAAAGCGCAATGAGAAAGCATTTTTGGCAAGAATATGGGGAAATTTTGATACCAAGTAAGTTGATACTAAACTAATTTGTCATTTAATATGTTTGCAATTTATATATTTTAATATACATACCCCGATGAGATGCGATGATCGCGTGTAAATTCAAAGCAGTGCCTCGACCTCAGGCTCGTTTTCTCTAGGAATAAGATTCAGAGTATTATCGGTAAAGCGAAAACCTCTAAATCTATCAGCCCCGTTATAGTAAAGATGTTGATGCTAAAACATCTGAGTCCAGCAGGGGTAGAATTCCTCAAAAAGATTCACAATCTCTAACTACTCTAACAATACCCGACACGCAACAACAGGGTAGCGTGTCTCGCTTGTAGTATGCGCGGGTAATATTTATTTAAAACGAGGAAACCAACAAACAGAGTAGATTTATATCGGAAGATATCACTCCTCTCACAAGTATCGAAAACACCTGAGGCCTTGCTGATCCCGTCTTTCACTCATTACCTAAACCCAGCAGTACATCAGCTTGGCTTCCACCCAGTTGATTGTGAAAGCGATGTCAAACCTGCATCCGAACTGTTCTGTTAGCTATGGATCTGTGAATATCCTTTGAGGTGGACTTACAAGACCATCAGCCAGCCAGTCATCAACTACGCTGCACCGATTTGGACACCGGTGACTAGTGAGACGCAAGTGTAGTAGCTGCAAGCATCTCAGAACACCGTAACGAGAGTCCTTTTGATGTCAACTGTACACCACTTACAGAGCAAAACATCTATGCGCTTACGCTTAGCAATATCTGCTAAGAGCTAACACATTTACTAGAGCCAGAACAGCGTAATAACCGAACATTGTTCGATAGGGATTCACTATGGAAAGATGGGATACTTCTTTAATGACGTCTGTCGCAGCTGCAGAGACATAGACAAAGAGGAGCTGGTAGAGCAATACCGCTGCTCGATGAAGGCATACCCTAAATACCTAACTATGCACTCCCCACAACTGAACCGATAAGCTCTAAACGTCATCCACAGAGAGTCCGTCAACATTTTCATGAACTCTCTACACATGTAAAGCATGCTCGAAGTTTGCCACCACCCGATGAGCTGGAGCTGCCTCTTGAGTCCAGGGAGATACGCACACAATTAAGGTCTGGATAACGTGGTCAACTCCTACATATGCATACATACCCAAGGAGTGACATATGCAATGAGTTCTAGCGCGACACTAACAACCTCTCTGTATGCCCTCGCTAAATCAATGCATCTAACATCCCTCTCCCTCTGAACCGAACAGGAAAAAATAGCTCTATTCCTAGATCTCTCCCATAGACTAAGTTTGCCTGCTCCGGAGAGTGAGCAACTCTTACAATAACATCACACACATACATATTAACTCTTAACCGTTCAGGGTTGTATGAGAGGTAAGAATATGCCAAGCTCTTCGCTCAAATTTAAAACCAAATTGATCTTTACACTTACATACTTAGATATGTATGTGGTTGATACACATTTTATGTTCGTTATTACCGCAAAAAAACTTAATTAGAAATGAGTTTCTTAACATATTTGTTATCATTTGGATGCAATTATGATATTTTCATACACTTTTGATAATCTCAAGTTAATTAATTTTTACGTTCCTCATTTCCATTTCAGATATATGAAACCACTGCTGACGCATTCACGACCAACTCTGCTTGAAACGCTACCGGTTTGTTGTAATCCACTGGCACGATTACTCACCACAACCGAGCAACTGACTCAGGTACGCGTCCAAGTGAAATCGTTAGAATTTCTTTTTATATTTAAATGAAAGTTAAATGAAGCATAAATTTGAAGAACAGCTTAGCACCAACTAACATTTGGTTTTGACATTCAACTTTCTGGTTTCTCTCTTCATTTTTGTCCACATTTTGCCAAAAAAAAAACAAAAACAAATTCATTGCATATATTTTATCATCTCATTGCATGCTGATTTGGCGCCCGATCAAAATACTTGTATAACAACATATTCAAAATCACACATATATACATACATTGTATCGCCAATTATGTTTGTAATTGCACTGCAACGTGTACGTACGTGTACGGCAACATTAGGACGGTGGCGGTTTGCGTCGCTCCGATTCCGATTCTGATATATGTATTGATGATGAGAATTTCGGTGCATCTTCGACGAATGGCAATGGTGCCGCTGGTGGTTTGAATGGCGGTAGTGGTGGTGGTAGCGGTGTTGGACCAGGCTCAGGCGGTATGGGTACGCGCCGCAACTCGATCAATCGTGTAAGTATACGCTTTGTCGCGGATGATCGCAGCCTCTTTGCTAGCTACAAAAATCGTGATTGAATTGTCTACTTACATACATATGTGTGTATATGACAATATGAATATGTACATACGTGTACATACAAACGTACAATATACTTGTACTGACATAAATTACTGTACATATACTACTACTATTTGCAAATATACAAACAAACATACATACATTAGTATGTAGTAGTTAAAGACTAACGATTCGAAAAAAAAAATAAAAATAAAAAAACTTGAAAATTTCTAGCAACGAAGACCAGAAGTTGTGTACAAAATTTAACATTTATTAAAATTTAATTGGAATTGGTTTAACGGTGTAAGACGAGTTAATATAATATTTTTTAAATTAACTAACTAGCTAAGGATTGTGTATAAAGTATTGGTTAATTGGTTTAACGTAAATCTTAAATACTAATTTTCCAAAAAACAACTTAGAAAATATTTCCTTTTACTTTGACTACTAAATTTCTTTCTCTAAAAACTGACATTTCAACCCTTTTTTTTTTATTAACAAATATGCATACTTTCACTTGAGCTAAGTAATAATTGTGCGCGTAAATAAACTGAAATCAAATTTTAATTGAAAAAATTGCGCATTCGTTAAGTTTCTATGGCTTTGTTATTATAATTTTTTTTTTTTTTTTTTTTTTTTTTTTTTTTTTTTTTTTTTTTTTTTTTTTTTTTTTTTTTTTNTTTTTTTTTTATAAACAATTTGTTTTTTTTTTGCGTTAAACGCTCACAAAAAATAATCTCGTAACGTAAACAAACAATGTATTTACTATCACTTAAAAATTAATTGTACTAAAAATTTATTATGTTTAAATTGTTGTTAATATTATTGTTGTTATTTATTATACATATATATATATATGATATTTATGTATATTTTGCATGTGAAATAAAATGAAAACAAATTAACCCAACTATGATTAAAACCAATTTTCTTTTTCATCTGCTATATTTCTATATTTTTCTTTCGAACAACCCAACCACCACCACCACATATGGACACTTGTTAACTTGAAAAAAAAAATAAAAAAAAAAAATAAATAAATAAAACAATAATAAATTGAAATTCTGAAATACTAAAATAATAACAAATATTACGGACTTATTATATTTAAATATGATTTTATAAATTATGGTTACTGCATACATATACATACATATATGGTTATTTATAAATGTTGAAACGATAACGAAAACGAAAACACTTGTTTTACAATTTGAAAAACGCTTATGTTGAAACGCTTAATAAATACGACATTAATAGCAATCGAATTTTTTAAATGAAGCTAATCAATTGATAACGGATCTTATTATAGTTACTAACAATTTTATGTGAATATCCAAAACCAAAACAAAGAATATAACAATTTTATAGGTGGCTGATATACATGCATACAAATGCTTAATTAAGTATATAAAATTCCTTGTACTTGTACTAAACACAATTTCACATTTTCGCATACTAAACATACAACTTCCATACTAACAGACAGACATACATACATATGTACATTCACATTTCTTCAAATTTCTTGCGAAAAATGCATGTTCCAGTTAAACTTTTACTAATTTTTAATATTTAATAAAATATTTACAATACGATTTCGATAATAATAGTTTTACCTAAGCTTGGTAGTGTTTTTTTTTACTTACGTCCTCTCTCTGGTTTTTTTTTTTTTTTTTTTTTTTTTGAGCAGTCTTTCATCTCGGAAATGTAGTCCTAGTGGCCTAAGAAGAAATTATACGGATAAAAAGCTCTAAACTATTTTGTGTTTGACTCTTTTCCTCTAATTTGTATGCGTTTTGATGTTTTTCCAACAAATAGAGGAACCTACAGTTCACACTAAGTCGCCTTGGAACTTCTGATGTTTTTTTTTTATAAGAAGCCTTTATTTCATGTCATAAATACACTCGAAGAGGTTGTCACTTACCTGCCGAGGGATGACCAAAATTCAAAAATTTAACTTAATTTTTTATTTAAATCAAATTTTGGATCTTAGTACAACACAAGGATATGAACCCGAGCCTACCGAATGGCAGTACGGAATACTAGCTACGCGCATACCAGCCCCGTACATCAGGAAGGGAGTACTAGAGTGCTTCGACTGCATGCAGCATTGTAGACAAGACCGCGTACCATTCACCGAGTGTCCTTTAATACCTTCATGAACTCTTTCTGTGTGCGGTTTCTCGAAATCTAAGCACAATCTATTGCGAATCAAGAGCTCGAGCTGCTTTAATGTACTGACACAATCAAGTTCTGGTTATTGTAGACGATTTAATTCCTACCTATCAAGACTACATTCCAACATATCCAACGTATGCCCTACATGCAATGAGACCCACTCTACACTAACCACATCTTGGCCTGTTCACTTAAACCAACACATATAAACTATTTTTTCCTTTGCTCCGAATTCGTCGAAAAAGCCCGTGTCCTGGACCTCCATGACTTACACTAGTCTTGTCTGCTCTTCAGCGAGGTTAACGAAACGCGAGTACAACAACAAATAAATTTAGCTTTGTCTATCCGGCCGCCGGTCCGTCCGTATACACGATAACTCAAGTGAGGTTCGAGATATTTTAATAAAGTTTGGTGGTTCATATATTTCTTGGATCACAAGTACGTATGAAATTTTGCCCGGGTTCAAATCCTGATATGACCTACATCTAAAAGAAATTTATTTTAAATAAAAAAATTAACTTAAATATTCTATTAACAACTCTTCCAAGTGTAGTTCTACATACAAAAAAAGGCTCCTCATGAAAAAACAATCAGCCGTTCGGAGGCGGCAAATTAGAAAAGGAGCTCAGCCGAAAATCGCTTCAGCAGCTACAAGGACCTAACCCTCCTGCGGGTTAGGGGCTCAAGAGTTTACCCGCGGTAAGGCATGCCTGTCTTAAGAGGCAACTAAAATCCAATAGTTCGCGCGACAGTCGGATCTTTATACCGGAACGACCGGACTGTCACTCCCGCAACATTCCCCAAAAAGTACTTTGGGGAATAATTTTGCAGTTACAACAACAACAATAACCAAATATATATATACAATGAATTAAACATTGGTACTATTTGCACTAAGTCATGTAACTTCCATACAACTGATTATTTGATATATAGAGCTTTGGGTCAAAAATATGTTGAACAAGCATCAAGACCGTTAAATTCATTATACTACACACGTAAATTTAAATAGATTGGAAATCATAGAAATCATGAGATAATTCCTTATAAGCTCCAAACAAATATTTCAGCTGTTGTTGTTGTTGTAATAACCGCCAAACTATACCCCAAATAAATTTCGCTTGAATATAACGGGTGTAATAGTACTTTGCGCGATAAAAATTCCGGTCATTCCGGTATAAAAACCGGACTGTCACTGCCACTTACGACAGGCAAGCCTTAACGCGCGTCAAATCTTGACCCCCGAAGACGCAGTTGTAGCAATTTTTTCAGAACTCATACCTTGGCAATAAACTTGATAGATATGCTTATTTAATGTATAAAGACCGAGGACCGCACTTCTTGCTTGTTTTCTTGTGCATTTCGACCACTCATTTAAGCTACTTGTCATTAGACCAAAATTTCAATATTTTTTTTTTTTAATTATTTCTTCTATTCTTCAATTTTTCCTTATTTTATATCTGCCTTCCGTATAATTTCTAATATTTCATATAAATTTTTATCATTAGCATTAGTCTCCCAAGCACTGCTAATTCAGATAGTAATTCCTTGCAATTCCCAAAGTCTTTCGCATACAGACAAAAATTCTAAAGAGCCAAATTCACAGTTTAACTAACTGTTAATAATTAATCATTGCTGTGGATTTGACTCTGCTTTCTTCTTAATTTCGATTAACTAACTTACAATTATTTATTTTTCTATTCATTGTTGATTTTCTTTCTTACTTGCAGAGTGAGAACGATCTCCGTACTCATCATATTTAAAACAAAAAAAAAAAACAAAAAAAAACAGAGCGTAAAAAGATTACACATAAACATTTGCTTAACTCATTATTTGTGATTTTAACTAAAATATATGTTTGCTTGAATTTGGCTTTCTGCACTTATTTGTTTTGAAGCACCATAAAAATGAAAAAAAAAAAATATTAGTCGTACGCTCTTTATAGTTGAATCTCAAGCGAAGAACAAAAAGTAATCTACAATATTTCCTAATTTATTTATCCACCTATTACGATTTATTTAGCATTAAGATGTTATCATATAATTTACATATTTACGCATACATATACACACATACATACATACATACATACAAATAAGAAAGACAATTTCAAAAAATATCGTAAATATTATGAATTGTGATTTATTTTATAAATGATTTGTTAATACAAACAACTTTAACGTATATTTTATGTGTACTCATATTTAGTTTGATTTAATTTTAATTATTTTAATTGCTTAATATAATAGTAGAAATGGTAATCAAATTGTAGTTTACTCGTATCTTAAGAAGGGTTCGCAAAATTTTCATGTAATTTCATGTAATAAATGTTCTACAATGATTTTTAAAATTAATAAATTTGTCTTGCACTATGTTGTAGTACGTGTGGTATATATAAATAAATTTACACAGTGATTTTTAATAAAAAAAAAATCGATTTTTTTTGCGCAAAAAATAAAAGCCCTATATTTGTAGAGTATATGTTTAAAGAGACTTTGAAATACGATGAATATTTTTCAAATGACAGCTTACCGAACACACCTGTCTCATGCACTCTGCGAACTTTCATAAAACGCGTTTTTCTCGAAATCACGTTTTCCGATCTAACTTCAAGCTCCGCACTAAATCTCTGCGCGTTTTCTTTTATCTAAAAACTGTTTCAAAGTACATAGTTTTTTTTGTACGTCTTGAACCTAAGATTAGCATTAATATTTAATTATTTATATTTTTTGAATTTAACTTTAAAATGTTTTAATTGAAGTTCAGGATGTGGAAAATTTTATGATTTTGATTTCAGTCTACGACAAGAGGTTGTAGGCTTGAAGTTACTGGGCCATATTTTTCGAGCAGGGGCCGACGGAAAGCGCCATTTACTTACCGTCATAGTGAATTTCAACTATTTTTTTTTTTTTGCAGTTTTAGAATCTCAAATATTATAATAAAAAAAATTTGATTGTCAAAATCGGAAGTTCGTACGTACGACTTTTCATTCTCCCATAGCAAAAATGCAAACTTTGCTTGATTTTTGCCCAATATGAAGGTGGGGGCGGTTAAAAGTTTAGCATACAGTTGGCTGAAATTTTGTCCTTTTCACGGCTGTTACTTACAATCAGTCAACAAATTAACGGTAACTGATCATTTAAAAAAACCGCTTAAAGACATTACAAAATTCTCTTCGGGACTCACTGCCTGCCGACTGCTTCGCTGTGAGAACTGTGGAAGTTGACTAGAACTATGCTACTATGAAAAAAGTACCAAACTTGGCTTTGTTTGAAGGGATTACATGAGTTTAACAGTTACAAAAATCAAATTTTTTATATATCTCTTATCTTACTAAATTCTGCAACATTTCGAGAAAGTTTTGCAAATTTTAAATTCGATCTGAAGAAAAATTTCAGTGATATAGCCTTGAGAAGAGGCGCGCTCAAATTCAGGTAGACGCAGTGTTTTGAAAGAGTTTTTCTTGGGTTAAAAGTTTCCGAAAATTCATCAATCGATCTTGATGGAGTTCTATAAAGGTTTTTTTACAATGCACGAGGATTTTTAGAAATAATATTTAAAAAAAAAATTACCAAAAATTTAATCTTTTTGTAACAAAAAACCTGCCAAAAATCCAATTTGCAGTAGCTTTTATTTTCATTCGAGAACAAAAGTAATCGTATTCACTTTTAAATCCTTTGATTTACATGAAACTTGATACACACAGTAGCTTTAGGCCCAAATTACCATAATGTACACCTTTTTCTGGCGGGTAGTGGCCTTGGATCTATAAAAAAAAATCCTAAAATTTGTACTTTAACATATTTGGGGAGCTGTTTTTCAACTCTAACCCTTGTTATCTGACAAAGTACGTTGCTGAGCTTTAAGATTTAGCTGCCAAAAGTGGTCGAAAATTGGCATTCTCGGCTGGAATTTATACGAGGCAGCAGCGGTGGTAATTTTCACGAAATCATTTTTAAAAAATATATCGTAAAATATCTTTATAATAGCCACAACATTAAATTATGTGCGTTAAATTTCTACTAGACACACACACACTTTCTTTTTTTTTAAAAAAAAAACACCCTTTAAAATCAAAATATGCAAAAAGTCATTTTTTTTAAAACTTCAAGAAGAGAAAAAATTAGTATTATTCTAAAAAAAATCTTTTATCATATATGAATTAATAATTAGATTCCATTATTGGGTTGCCCAAAAAGTAATTGCGGATTTTTTAAAACGAAGTAAATGCATTTTTAATAAAACTTAGAATGAACTTTAATCAAATATATAATTGCCATTTTATTCGATAACCTTTTGTCATCTTCCTGGCAAATTTAGTATTCCACGCTCATAGAACTTCTGGCCTTTATCTGCAAAAAACTGAAGCAAGTGCGCTTTTATAGCCTCATCATTGCCGAAAGTTTTACCATTTAAGGAGTTCTGCAAAGATCGAAATAAATGGTAGTCTGATGGT